AATCTTGGTGTTTGCTATGAGAATGGGACAGGAGTGGAAAAGAATATTCAAAAAGCAGTTGAGCTGTATCAGAAAGCTGCTGAACAAGGATATGCCTATGCACAAATTAACCTTAACTTAATTTTGTTGACTGATTAGACATTTGAGAACATGTTGTATTTGCAGTATATATATGGACTGTTTCATAACCACCAGATCTGATTTCCTTAATTTCAGCAAATTCACTATTTATTGTTTTACATAAAGTTGTCCAATAGTGCCTGTAGAACACAAAATAACAGTCTTCTGTAGTAGTAGATGATTTTTGAGTTGTGCTAATTATCCAAATATTATTTTGTGTCATACTCAGAGTAATGTAAATTTTGTGAAGCGCGATGATTTTCAGTGACGTATTCTTCAATAAGTACAACTTTATTGCAGTGACGTATTCTTCCCGCGTAATTCCTATGGTGTCACAGATTAGTCCGATCGAAAGATATAAAAGCAGTGCAAGTTTCAGCTAGCGTCGGTGTGTTCGCAAGTGTATTCTTTTATTTTCATATAACATTCTTGTTAATAAACGAGTATCGCATTTACTTTGAACATATACATTTGATATTTATTCTCTGAACCATTCGGTATAGCCATTGAACCACTAATTTCTGTATCGGATAAGAATAATCGCTACTTGTCCCGTGATTATTCCCGTGGCGTATACGATAATTAATTGCTATTTATTGAAACGCGTTTATTATAGTATGAATACCATTGTACCCCAACTGCCGATTAATCCCAAGGTAGGGAATAATCGCAGCTCACTCGAGGACGAATTAGGATTAGTGGTCACTCATCGACACAGTGAGTCGTAAGTGTGTTTAAGGTCACTAATACTATTGTTTAACTAAAGTAGGACGATCGAAATTAGCTAAATTCCTACAAGTTAATAGTCAACCGCTCTTCCGTGACTGCTGACTAGACAAAATACAAGTTAAAAATATGTTCATGTTAGATATTGTGCCATAGATATCAAATTTGCTTTCTATTTATTGAAACCATTATACTGACTTAAAGTCTACATGGATTAGTGTGTACAAGTTTAGTAGTCTTAGTACATTATTCCAAAAACTCATAACCTTACAAATGTATGGTTTGAAATGCAATGAGTTAATGTACTAATTGCAAGTAACACATTTACATTTTGTACAATATTGTATTTAACAAAATAAGATATTATTTCATAGTTTAGAAGTTTATTTTGTGCCTGCCCGACTTCCAACGATATATCAACACAGCCGCGACGACGAATTGAATGGGCTGACAATGCACGCCCTTGGCTTGGCTGAACGACTAAAATTTTAATAGTTAGCCTTAATGATTAATGAGTGATTTGTCACCCCTTGAGAGACAGTTATGGGGTAAGCGACGACTTTAGCTTTAGTGTATTTGCGCTTATGGAATACAATCGTTGGGATTGTGAGAATCTTTTTGCGGGAAACAACTGATTGCCAATAAAATTGTGAAATTGAAATCAGCTGATTACTAATGTGAAGTATATTCATATCATGTGATTGCTACATAAAGAAATAAGGTAATTAAAATGTCCGCGTTCTTAACATCAAAGAACAATGCCAACTTGTGTTGAATGTGGCGCTTCTGTCACCAACTTGTACACGCAGTATAGTAAGGGGAACATTCGCTTGACCCAATGTGTGAATATCTTAAATATCTGGTTGGTATTTGTTCATGCATAATGGTTATTAATCAAAGACTCTTTCGTACATTGATGATTGTAGAAATGCAACAAGTTCGCTGACAAATACGTCGAACATGATTTCGTCATAATTTTTATTGATATGCTACTACACAAACCACAAGTCTATCGACACTTGCTGTTTAATCGATTAGAGTATCGTGACCATGGAATAGATGTAAGTTGTATATATAATGTGTGATTTGGGTTTGTGAATAGTTAATTGAAAGTCGTTGATTCATTCCGTACAGCCCAACGTGTTGAAGCTTAATGTTTTACTCATCCTATTCGACGTTTGTATCCTTTGCTTTGGATAATTAATTGACGAGTTGAATAAGAAAGGAACCACAAATGTTACTTTAACTATGCATGTCTTTACAGACATCAAATGGTTCAGATTGGAAAAATACTATGCAGATGGAAATGTCACATTCAACCTCACTTTCATAGAACAGCCTTTATATCTGCAATATTTCTACATTTTGTTTCTATGTGTCCTTGGTATGTATCCATAGCCTTTTCATTCAAATTGCTTGAGAACAGCTGGCATTTTTTCCTGTCTGACGCTACTTGTCTATTACAGAGTTTGCCGTCTTTCAGTTTGGAGTTCGACTCGCAATAAGTCTATACGTTGGTAATCAGTATGCAATTATCAAGTGCGTCAGCAAATATTTGTCTAAATGTTCTCGAGATACAAAAATGCATTTTACTCATTATCACCCTTAACGTTTGGTCTCAGATATAATTACATTACGATGGCACTCATAATATCAAGTTTTGGCAAGTTATTGCTAATATTGATGATAATATGGGATTACAACCAAATGGAGTATTCATGGTTGATCAACATAATAGTCCTCACATCAAATATAGAAGCACTCTCTGGTGTGTCCCAACATTGGAATGTTTGATCCTCTCGTTCTGTTCTCGGTTGAACAAAAAAAAACTAAACATAGTATATTTCCATTAGTATTCTTGAACATCGGATATCTACAAACCTTTCTCATTATGGCATTTGGTCTGGGAGCGAAAATAATGGCTCAAATGTTCTTTGTACAAGTAACCAACAGTTCACTACTACGAGTGTTAGTAAGCATCTAGGAAGGCGATACAATACACTTCTGACTCTAGACATGACAAGCACCGTAACTCAATTTATAAACACAAGGTGAGCATGGAATTTAGTTAATTCATTCGCTTTCCTTTAATTACATAAATATTATTAAAGCATTTATATATTTACAAAATGACGATTTCCAATTATGTTACGCGTTCCACTTGTCAAGCAATATGTCCGAGACTATCCACGGAAAGGATAATAAACAATCTTTCTCGTTTTCGGCATACTCGTCGGGATACTTTATCCTATCGTACGTCACCATATACCAAGCTGACGCCTTGGCTTTCGTCTCGTGGTTAATAGGAATCGGTACATGGGCACCAAGCTCATCATCATAGTCCTCTTCTTCTTCTTCTTCAAACTCCTTTTTAAAACTTCTTCGATAACGGGTTATGCGGATAGCCATGTCGGATGCGATGGCATCCCTGACATCGTATAAATGCCGACCACATGTTTTCACGCTTAAAATACTCCCCGTGAACACTTCCGGTTCAGACTTTATTTTGTATCGTTGCATCAAGTTTCGAACTTCCTGATTATAACTGTCTCGTTGCGCCAACGCATCGTCAATGTACTCAGCATAGCCGTACTCAACGAACCGACCAAATGGTCTAATCGGAAATTTTCTGTAATATCGCTTTTCGTTGTCGCGATGTTCATCTAAATCAATGTTTCGATACAGTTTTCCCAGAATTTTCTGGGATTCGTATTTGGTCTTTGTCGGATTCTCCATAAAGTCAGGAGACTCCTGGGACGTAGGTAACCGTCCTGTGACAGGAACGCCTGGTACGGGCTTGCATGTCAGTAAAATGCATCCACCAAAATTTTGAGAATATATAATTTGTTATAGTTACCTGTCTTGTTAAAGTCCACGGCCATGGATGCCTTTACAATAGACCGATTAGCCTACTTCTCTTACAGAGCATATTTTACAGTTAAATTATTGCTTACCTTTTGGGCCAACTCGATGCATTCCGGGGAGAATACTCCAAGACTTTTTTGATCGGCTAACGTCAGGTGGTTATTGCATATCGTCCCCAGCCGATCGTTCTCCATGAAATTGCGAAAGAATTCTGCAATGTCGTAAATATTTACGGGCCTATCTAATTCTTTTCTTTGCGGGGCCTCATAATCCAGACTTGGGTACGTCTCTGTCGGTATTAACCGCTCATCAAAAGACACAAAAAATTCGTCCCCATCTAAAGTAATAAAACATGATTAAAAGTCTGTCTCAAACCAAGTTTGTTTTCTGACACGCTTCCTACCTAGATCACCTGATGTAGAGAGTAGCATCCAAGAGTCAGTCTAGGTTAGGATTGAAATAACGGCTACGACATGATTAACGCTACATACCTCCAGCCATAGAATTGACTACGGGCGAGTTTCCGTTTTGTGAGAAAACTATGCAGTTTCTCAGGTGACTCAATTCCGGCACATCTACGGCCCGTAATACAGATACGTCGCCTGACAAATTAAAAACCATTATATCGTCACGTTAACTTTATTATCAATAGAACATAAATCAACCCGTTGTGAATCATGCAAACTCACCTGGGTGCAGACATGGGTTTCGTGTTACAATGGACCTTCCTGTCCATACACGATGTTTTCTTCGCACCTTTTTATCCCCTTTGAAGGATTGGTGCTCCGATATTATGGACGACGTTTGCACATATATCTGGTCGGGTTCCAAGATCCCGGTCTCATCAATCACTCCCATTAAAAGGAACGTCGACGGTACCTCGATTCGGGCTTTGTTTTTTAAGTCTTTTAACGTAAATAACTTTTTCACCTCGAGCATGGCTTCTAGAAATGGCTCTTCTTCATCCATTAACCCCGCTTTGAGCATTTCTAATATTGTCCTTGTTTGATGCGACCCGTCCCTACTGATCTGGCGAATCACTTCTGCAGCGCGTTTCGAATCCTGCATCATAGATTCGATAAACGACTGATGATTGTTCTGTAGTTCTAGAAACTCACTATCGGGGATTTTGAGGTTCGATAAAAGCAATATGATTTGCCTATTCAAATGTCCCTGCTGAGGGGCTTTCACCGCTTTCGCTATTTCTAGAGTATACGATTCGTGCGATTCGAATTTTTTTTGGCTCGGTCGTATGCAGAGGACATCTCCTTCCAACTCCCTACCAATGGCGACAACGCCCTATAAATAATTCGAGGATTAATAATGACTCAAAAGATTTGCACCTTTGAACAAAGTATAAGCTAATGCATACCTTACATCCACGGAATCTTATTTGATATACCGACGGAATTTCCTTATCTACAACATCTCGCTTGCCCCAATACTTTTTTATCGCCTTCTCAGCTAGACTGTGAGAGATTTGCCCACATCCGTCGCTGAACACGTGTCCGTTCCGCTTAATATCGTCAATGTACCTGACCTGGTCAGGTTTGACTTCAATGGTGCCTACGGTAGACGTGAACGTCTGGCCCATTCTGGCTCCAAGCAGTGCTGGTAAGTAAAAAAAAAACCAAACATTTGTTAAATTGACTTTTTTTAAAAAAAAAAGAAGAAAAAGGAAAAGGATTCCCAATTGAATAACCAGAAAATAAAAACAGCAAGTTTTCATTTCCAGTTCATGCTTACCAGGAGACCTAATATCACTAAAATCACCCATCCATGCGCGAATACTTGCAGCGGAAAAATCGCCATCTGCAGCAACGAACCAACAGGCGTGTTCCCTCAACCCAGAAGACGAAAAGGCCAGAAACTCGTAATGCCTTCCAGCGCATCGAAATCCACATTTCAATATCTCTAGGACTCGATCTTCGTATACGTATCTCATATTCTCTACCGCAAACAATTTATCGAGATTTTCCTCGGCGAAACGAACTCTAAGAAACCTATCCGTATATTGCGAAAATTCTCGGAGAATCCGGTTTGATGTTTCGTATATCGGTCCTTCGTAAAAGATTTTCGTTGGGGTGACGGTAGCATGGTTTACTAAAGCGTACCTGGCATTTTCTTTGCTTGATCGCCACGGCGTAGGATCATTTTTTAAAGATGCCAAGACTTCGTCAAAATACGAAATGGGTCTCCTGTTATATTGTGCATCAGCCGGATCCCAATAATATACTGGTAGCTGGTTTAGGCAGAACCATGCAAAATCGACGCTTTTCTCCTCAATAATGTCCAAAAGCTTGTTTTGCAAATTATATTCAAACACTTCGCGCACTGTCAATACGTTGTGCGAAAGTAAGCATTCAAGCTCGAAGTTAATCTTGAACGGTAAGAGTGGATATATAACCCCGTCCATCGTTTCATCCAAAGGATGTGGGTTTTTGTACTTTACCGGGCAGTCCTGTAGATTTTCATCGATCGTTGTCAGAGCTTTTTTGACTGTCTGAATATTTTCTTTAAGGACCAGCCGATATACCAGGAACTGACCAAAGACGTTATGGTCACCTGTCCAATCGCCACAACGCGACCATACTGTCCAATTATCGTCATGATACATGTTAATATTCGCATTGAGAACATGCTCTAGCTGTTTATGTAGTTCGGGTGGATGTTTTAGAGTAAGGTATACTACCAATTCGTCTCGATGTTCTCGAGACGTATCTATGATGACGCCTTTACATTGTTCGTCAAGTACCCTAGCGTTAATGTATATTACATTCGGACGACCCTCATTTTCTGCGATAAGCTTAATAAATTCTTTTTTCTGGACCTGTAACTTCCAATATTCTGAATGTTTATATTCAGACAAGAATGTCCAAACTATTTCCTCATTTTTACTGCGCCTTTTGTATTTATTTGCGACTGATACACCGCTCCAGCTTCCCAACTCCAAGCTATCAACTAAATATTCCGTTCCCGCCGCTACGTTATGTATTGTTCTTTTTTTGGCCCTGGATATGGTTAATGGTCTTCCAAGCAACATGGGTTTGTTGTATCGAGCTCTCCTCAATAGCTGTTCGGCGTCTTCCTCTTGCTCAAAATGGATAGTCGCCCGTCCACAATTACATCCATAAAGTTTGGCATGGTTTTTAAGATAGCATTCCGTAATTTTGCCACTTATGAAGGGGGACAAGGCCTCAATTAGCCGAGCTTTTGTCAGTTGAAAGGGAATGTTCGATATATGTACCGACATGTTCATCTTCTTTCCCATCGGGAAAGATGCGTATTTACGATTATTTTTGACCACGTGACGCTTGTTTACAACAAATTTGCATTGTTGGTTGTAGAGAAATCGCGACTTGAAAATAAGACATTAAAAGCAATGGCAAGTCCCTCTCGTGAACTTTGATTTTTAAAATCGCGTCAGAGATTCCACTTTAGAGAAGGAAAAGAAAACGTTGAAAGTCTTTCTCACCTAGGAAGGCGGCGAGAAATTGTCACTAATCAGAATGTTCAAAAAATACACAAAGCTTCCTTCAAGAAAATCTTCATTCTAGCGTTCTTGACCAGCGTTTCATCAGTATTATAACTGATGAACAATTGTTTGAACGGAAAAGCAGTCGAAAGAGTATGTTTTTCTCTATGGCCAAAAAGGTAGTGCCTGAGGGGGAAAGTGTAATTGACGAGTTTTACTCTGCCCGGTGTGTTTTAAAATTACACATTCTCCGACTTAGCATCATATGACTTTTTTCAGATCAAAAAAAGGGTTGGGGGAGGAACGAGAGTATTTTCCAAAAGCGGGGTCCCCCAAAGCGGTATATATGAAAATTGGTGTAACATGCTTAAAAAACTCGTGTAGATGATCATCGAACAACCAAATATCACATCCGGTTTTTAAAGTTACAATTACAAATGAGGGCCCAAATTTATTGCCAAGAATCAGTTCTTTTCTTTACAAACTACAAACTGCAGTGTTTTTACGTTTAGATGAGGAAATTAAATCTAATAAGTATACATGCAAATGAATAATTAAGGTGTATTGATCTATTATTTAAACATGTTGAGTGTAGCTAAAGATTACATCTAACTTATACAGAATTGGAAATTACTGATGTTCTAGTGGCTGGTAGTGGTACAGACGTGGTATCTTCACACAGCTTTTTGATAAATGGAACATTCAATGTGTAGGTCGAAGCTCGGGGACAGACGGATTCAATGCAAGTATCTTCGGTGGAGTTCTCATCAATCACTCCCAGTGATTTACTATTCCAGGATCCAACACGAGAGTCTGGCGATCCCGAAATCGGATAAGAACCGATTACTTTGGGAGAGGGAAGGTCAGGCAAATTAGCGAATATGTCGTAATCTCTAGAGTATGTCGAATATATCGAGGCCATTTTGTATCTACCCGCAGAATTTTGGGATGACTCCAGGCCATTAGCGTCCATATAGTTGTCGAGTCCGTACATAATGTCGGTTGTAAATTCGGTTTGACTGCTTGCAGACGATATGACAGAAGCCCTTGCATTATTGGGATGGCGTGATCTTAACGCTAACCGTTCTCGTGTATTTCCGCCTTGTTTTGCATTTAGATTTTTTACCGACTTTACCAAGTCGTCTTGCTGCTGCTGAGCCTGCTGCTTGTTCGTTATGGGAAATACTACGTAAACTGAGCCTTTCTCGGACTTGCTGTCGTCACTTATCAACACATCATCTAGCAATGTATCACCAAGCGTACTCGAGTCGCGAAGAGTAACATTATTATTCATGAGACTCATCGTATCCACTGATGACCACCCAGTGCTCGTACGTTTCTCGGACAAATGCGCAGCTTGTGGAGATACAAGAGTCGAAGTTGGTGAGGGTACTTCGGATTCCTCGGAAGATTCCTCGGTTGATTCCTCGGCTGATGGATTTTCCGGTATCGGACTAAGATTTACATTAAATGAATCCAATACATCACCCAAACTGAGTCTATAATGAGTTGGAAGAGCTTTTGGGTCACTGCTCAAGTATCTTGTAGACGGATTACTGAATTGGGTCATCTTTTTCTTTTCTAATGTCAGTGAGTCATCAGAAGGACTAGGAGCAACTCCAGCCGATTTCTTTGTGACACTACTGTTGCGAGTATGCGACTGACGTTTCTTTTGTCTTGCACGACAAGCCCATATTAACAGTCCAATGAAACTAACTGTAATAATGACTATTCCAATTATCATCACGATATGAATGCTTTGATTACTGCTTGAACTCGGTGAGGCAGCACATACACCTGACCCACAATAACCTGATTCACAATTGACGTCAGCACTACATGCTTGCCCGAGTGTAATTTTCGGCTGGCACAGTCCGCTAGGTAGATCGCAGTATGTAGTAGTGTCCGAACATGTCGGAGTAGAAGCATCTGTTGGATTGGGAATGCATGGAACTGGGACTGCTGGAGTGGCTGCGGGAGATGTTGCGAGGGATGTAGGGGTTGTCGTACCTGAAATCGCAGATGGTGCAGCCGGTTGTCCAGCAGGGGCGGCAGTGGGTGTGGACCCATCGATAGCACTTACAGCTATATATAATCGAGTTAGTCAAATGCGCACGTAATGTATAAGCAATAAACGTACGTGAGAATGCAATTGCCAGAATTACCTTGAGGTGCAGCCGTAGCAATGGCTATCAAGCCAATTACTACCAACACTACTGTTATGAGCGCATTGTATTTCATTATTCAAAATTGAACTTAATGAACGAAAGTAGTTAGGATGCGATTATCGTAAATGCTATTCACCCGAATGGGATACCCGAAAATTATATTATTTTATGGAAAAAAGTGGGAATGTAGTGAGAGTATGAATATAGAGGGTGAGAATATAGAGGGTGAGAATATAGAGGGTAATGAATTGTATTGATTGTTAAGCGATTATTGGTGAGGGAGAAGGATGTGATAGGATGAATTGAAGAAAGGAATGACATAAAAAAGTTGGATGAGGGTGTAATTAACTCTCTCCAGACAAAGCGATAACAGGAATATCCCTACGCAACTAAAGGCGGGCACCATTCTCTCCCTATCCAACTCATTTATATACTCGTGATATGCATTGAATTACTCTTGGTGACGAAAGTAATTAAAAAAGTTCTCGCCATACATAAGTAATATATCACAACAGTTAAACTCTCTGTATGGTCCATTTAGTCGGTAAAAGTGGTGATGTGATACAAGAACGAGTACAATTGTTTGGGTTTATCTAGATAGTTATAGTAATGCTGATTGATGGTAAAGTCCCTTCTTTCTTGAGTCCGGCCTGTTTAAAGACGGAAACCTATTGATAGTATGTGCGGACATGTCTCCTTGCGATCTTGAGCATATATGTCAGTAGGAGATGTACAATGCATGTAAAATATGCAAATTTAATTTTAATGTACAGATGTTTGTTTTGACCGTCTTGGCTAAAGAAGGCAAGGCTTGTAAGACACTTGACGTAGGAGTTATGCCCTTTATAGCCAAGTGCATAAATTAATCGACTGTAAAAGGTTCCAGTTGAAAACCACGTGGGCACAAACAATAGAAACGTAATAAAAGGGTTCCGCATGCTTCACATATAATGCATCATGACTTTAAATTCAAACTCGCGCATTTGAATGTTGGGGAAAGGCAAAGAGGAGTAGCATGGTATCTTGGATGCATGCAATACAAGTAATATGCTATGATAAGAGTTATTAAATGAACATATGAGATAAGTAGTAGCCTACACGTTTCATAATATGGATAAATGGGTCTTTGTTGGTTCATACGGATACAAAAGGTATAATTTATTATGTCATTTTGATAGGGCTCGGCATGTTTCTATTGAATTACGTTCTATCAGTTAGTGATTTTATTGATAACTTTGATTGGTATCTGTCTATTGTTTGATCTTTTGTTGACCTTGGCGTTACATAATGGTAAACAAAGATGGAGTGTAAAAAACTCAATTTACGGACGCTATGGCTAAAAAGGCTTCTGACTGGCTGTAAACCATTTTCTCACACTCGTAATTCGATGCAGAAGTTGGTTATTATCGCAAACATGGTGTTAAATTCTCTGCTTTGGAATTAACAAATGAATAACGTCGTTCTTAGCCTTTTAATTCTAATCGTTAATTGGAGTAAAACTTGTCGATTTTGTGATTGGTGGAATTTTTATTAGAAATAAACAAATTGAACTTCTGCAATACAAGAAAGAACTTTCGAAATCTATCAACAAATTTATGATAATATTGATATGCATATTATTAATGGATAACCAACAGAATAATGCAATGCCTTTTTTATATTGTCCGAGGGTATGTTTACATTTATGCAAGAACAACATATCTAATATATGCTTATAACTGACGTTGTGTGATTATCGAAAACAGTACTAGTACCACATAATAAACAGTTTAAATTAAACCTATCATGGAATCAAGTATGGCAACATATATATATGGAGCACGCGAATAATATCTCTTTCCCATTATCATTGTATACTCCTCAAGCAATATCTGTCGGGTAGCATTCAACGCTTTGCCGTGAGTTTTTTGAATACAGTATAGTACATAAAATAGTATGATTTGGTACTGATCGATTCCACGTTCACAAACTTCATACAATTAGGGATTAAATATCGGTTGCAATTAGATATTTTCCCAGTGCTTTTTAAACATAGCTCATTGAAAAAAGTCGCCGGACACTTTATTAGTTAAGCCTTACTGAGAATTTTTAATAGCTTATTGGATCCCCGCCTCTCAATACATACATGAACATGTCTAGACATACTATTGATTAATCTCTTATAGGTTTGTCTAGGAATGTTTTCCCACTCTTCTTTTGACGCCATATACACTCACTTGACGATTTCGCCGATCAATATGAAAAAAAAATTTTTTTTCTGAAAACTTCTAGTTTCTGTACGTACTATGTAAATTTTGTACTGTTTTGAAGCTAATCAGTGAAATATTCAGTCCCATTATCGTTCTAAAGCTGCAGAGAAAGATGTAGTGACAGTATCTATGTTACACATATGAAAATCATATTTGTAACATAATGTCACCACTTCATCGAGTGACTCCTTCGTTACAGTAGCCCTGTTCAATTCTGATCTGCACAAATTTGAAAACAGCCAATCAGAGAATGCGCAAATTGAGGACAAATTTCCGTGTTTCGTTCCGTCGCTTATGGGTTTTCAGAGGAAGGATCATCCTTTTTCAGTTTTCCTCTCTGCATTAACAGACATACTTGACATCGTGGTACAACACATGAGTTTTGGAGATGGAACGAAGGACCTTGCTTTTTTTTTTGTCCCATCACATGATTTTGCGGTCACCAATCAGAGGGGCCAAAACGGGAACAAGGCTAGTAACTGATTGAACTTTTGCATTATTGTTTTCGAAAAGCACAACCAATTAGCTTCAAACCAATGCAAAAATCATTGTAACTTACATATCACGTACAGACACTAGAGGTTTTTGAACAAAAAAAAATATTTTTTTTCATATGCTTTACTAATTGATCGGCAAAATCGTAAATACTTTTGTATTTGCACTCGCCTTTGTAGTTCATTCCATAAATTCCTTAATCGGGTTTAATCAGATGATTGAGCAGGACAATTTGAGAGAATTCTGATTCCTTTTTGACAGATCCAATCAATCAATCATTAAGTATGGATTGAAAAGGATTGATAAAGGGTTTTTGTTTATTGTTTATGATTTAATGTTATCTGATGACCTACGCGAAACAACATTTTACTGACTGTAAATTGGGAATACATGTCTCTCGCAATATATTCAAACGGAACCATTGGTTGAGTGATACGTATATTTACTTATTTTAACGAAGTTACTATTATAGTTTTCTTTGTATTTAGCGCAGTAAATACTATCACAACAGCATAATGCAAGAGGATGTGTCGTCTTCCACATCCCTCTGAGTAATCCATGGAGCGAACCGACTGTAGAGCAGGAGCAACGATAGCTCTAGACACGTGAACAGAGATAGTCGCAGCCCCAACACTGGCTTCTCTTTGCTATAAAATAATTGAAAAACTGTTCGTACAAAGTATATAACAAATGGCCTCATTTTTTGTTGTTTAGAAAATCGAGTTTATGTATATAAAACTTCTTTGTACGGACAGTTTTCAATTATTTTATAAAAAACTCAATTTTGGTAAATCAAAGCGTGAAATCTATTGTCTAAGTTTGAGGCAATAACCTACGTCCTTGAAAAGCCTTGGTGTCTTGAAGTTTACTGGCGAAAAAACTTCACACGCCGATGTTCATATGACCTCTATGTTTGTAATACTATTTTTGGTTACCTAACTATTTATGGCAGAGTTTTCTAATATGGTTTATCTCGCTAATATATAAATAAAGTGTCCGGAGACTTTTTTCCGTTAAGTGTATAATCGTATCTATCTACATCACTGATAGTACTCTTGGGAAGTTAACAACCAAACGACTATCACTGCGACTACTCTTGAACAATCGAAAAACCAGCAATGGCAACTATCAGCCCAGACAACGAATATCTAATCACTCTTCCGTATCCTCCTGAAATTTCCCCTACGGAACTTCTTTCTCGTAAAAAAAGTGGCCCCATTCTTTGTATATCGCAAAGCATACGTTAAAGAACTCAAGCGTCTAGGGAAAAGAATAAAGATGACTCAAATATCCGGGGTAATATCATATTCATGGTCTCGCGAACCAGAAAAAATAAGGAGTGCTTACAGAGACATTGCGGATGAAGCAAGCGAAATGTTCAAAAAGATAAATCCAACTCCAGAAAAACAGCCTTCCAACGCAAGAGGAACAACCCGTGGCAAAACAAGGCGGCGAACATACAGGCCAGCTGAACTTTTTAATTGCTAACGTTGAGAAGATAATAGTTAATTGGTTATTGTATGTAGATAAGTTAAATTATTTACAATATTAATATCACAGTGGATCCATATAAAGTATCAAGTAACAAGGTCGGACACATGCTAGGACTTCATACATGTTTTTGAATCTTGGACGGTTAACTTAATCAGCCAGATGGGACCGCTTGGCGTTTTGTTGGCCGTTGAGCTCTTTGTTCTACTATTTTTTTCCCTTTCTGTTCCTTTCTTTCTTTGTCTTGTTATTCATAGGCATGTCGATTTCAATAACGATTGTTGACTGCAGTTTAATATAACTCTGTCAATGTCAGCGTTTATGAATATAGAAAAAGATACCAATATGTGACCGCAAAATATATACGAGAATTTACCTCTAAACTTGCCATGTAAGACGTTATGAACGGAAGCCCATGTTAACCGACTAGCGTGGTCGTTTATACCCGGAATTATAATTGGTATTTCGTTATTTACTACCTACAATACGCTTAGAATGTCATCTTAATTAGCATAGTCTACCGTTTATCACTTAATCAACCTTAATTTCGATTTCATAAACTCAGTTTGCCACTCTTTGTCGTCGCACCCCCCTCCCCGTTCGTCTTTCGCCGCCGCCTAATCAATTCAATATGCTCAACGGTTCATAAAGTCCTTGGCATATCGGTTGGTATATTTTTGGGGTGAGAGAGCGATATTATCTTTCGCGTCACCAACCGGGAAATGTTACTAGGCTTAGCTCGTACTACCACTCTACTCCGGTAGTTATTCAATTAAGACTGAACTATGCTTTGAACGACCTATTACTATTAATTGTTTAATGTACGCGCTTAACATATTTCCATCACAACAAGACCCACCACAAGATGCTTTATGACAAGATGCTTTACTACAAGACCCATCACAACAAGACCCATCATCGACTTCAGACAGTATGTTGTTGTTAGTGGTGGTGCTGGAATTTCAGTCTGCAGTTTTTTAGTTGTGCAGACTTTTCTGCAGTAATTATGCAAATTGTGTTGGTTCTTGTAGATGATGGAGAGGTTATTTTCTTGTTGTTGTGGCTATGGTTGTTTGTTTGTGCAGTCGATTTCACTGAGTTTTGAAAACTGCGGTATAAAGTGTTGTCTCAATTTTTACTCGACTGCCTGGTAGCAAGGTAGTAACAGTAATTATAATAGTAATAGTAATGATGGTTAGGGTGATATTGAAGTCCTACATATACCCATGTAAAAGTTAATACAATATTAGTAAAAAAAATCTAGAAACGTAATAGTCCAAACATACAATCACACTTTGTTCTTTCCTTCATAAGTCTCTAAAAAGGCAACTTTCGAGTTATCGTCGGACGCGGCTGACTTGGATGCCAGACGTAGTTACAAACGTTTAACACCTTTGAGGCCATCTCTTGGCTTGGCTTTTGAAGTGGTACGGAATGATAATAACAGCTATAGAATAATAACAAGCCATAGTAATAGTACAATTGATCAGATCGAAAACTGACTTATTTGCAAATCCAACAATAGTACAATAGTACTATGAGCAGAATAAGGTCATAAATCACGGAATCTTGTGTGACATGCTCACGCGTTATTTTGGATATGGACATGTGAAGTTAATTAACATGGAGATTGCGTAATCGAACAAATAAACCGTGTCGTTTTTCGATGTAACTAAAGTTTTCTAAATAGCGCCGATCGTAGTTAGATCCAATACATTTTTCCCATATTAATATTGGGTTTTGTCTAAATCGAAAATAGTTCCAAACTAAAACTATATTACTATTACTATCGATTGCACTAATTAATATGATTTCCATTGACATTGATAATACCGTATAGTTCCGAAAATAACACCATCGTCTTGTGTTTAGCCATTGTGAGAAACTATGACGTATACACGTATTCCTCCGAAAATAAGAGTGCTTCTTATACGGTAAACATATAAACCCCCCCAAGAACATGTCATCCTAAGCCACGATCTTCAAAGATAACAAGATTTTTCCACGGACTGATACTTAACTGAATGTGCAAATAGTTGAGTATTATTCGCCGCTTTTCCCGTGCATCCGTCGCATTATTCCGCCATCCGTCGCATTTCTCGTAATAATTCGGATTATTATTACGGTAACTTTTGGATAAGTACGATTTATGACACCTTGGTCGTCAGATCAAACAAGATATGATTAGCGTAAAGCTTGCGCAGGCATCTGATAGGTACCATAGCGTAGTAAAAATAATTAATTATATCGGATAGCAGACAAAGCCTTTCGTTCAATCTTTGGATATTCTCACTTCAAACTAGATGATGTAGTCATAGACTTTAATCACATTTCCTGTAAACTCTTTGGAATTATTTTTCCACCCAAGTCTGCAATACCATATTTTTAGATTAAACTAAGGTTCTGTGGAATAACAATGTTTGATTTCCACACAATCAAGTGCTACAACTACCATTATCTTTACCATTACATACATAACACATCAACAGAATTCACAAACACATACACAAGGCCAACAGTTTTGAATGACAAAACAATAAGATACATACATAGGAAATATGTTGTGTCTGAGTCCAGGACCTGTATCAGTTCCAAACCCAGTCACTCAGTCCAGAACTGAGACAGGTCCCCAAGTGAGGTACAACAGTTATAAGAGGAATTTATTGATAGGCTTGAAATTTAAATCAAAGGTGGTAGATGGTCTGTTTGTTTTGGTACATTTGATGCATGGCTTTTGATAAACTCACTGCTACTTTCTACCCCAGTTCCACTTTTGAAACATACAGCAATAGTCATAATATTAATGAACTACAAGTTTACTAGAATTGACTTCTTCCTCTGCATGATAATGAGCTTCTTTTTCATCCTTTATCTAGTCAGCAGATGGGATTGCTTTGAATTATGGCAAGCTGACCTTAGACTTATGGCCAAATAGCTTCATAACTATATGATATTTCTATATCATATGTTAATGTAAGTCACATGTTAAATTTAATAAATTATATTTACTCTTGACTATTATCACTTCCATACTCTGATAATAGAGCAGGATACCATAATGATAAGAAAAGACTTCCATGCTCAGCTCTATATATGAATTATATGCAGTCTTAGAACAAAGGTCATTGACACCTGTATCAATTAGGCAAAATACAAAAAAAAATTGGTATTGGTCTATACAACATCCATGTACACACCCATTTTCGCAAAAGAAGAGCCCATAAATCCAATTAACAATAAGTCTTGTCAGCTATGACACCTTCTATTTGATGAAATTCTGCCAAATGCATTGTATCAACATTTTCATTGTGAAATACTATCGATTGAAAAATACTTGGCAGGTTGAAACTCCTGCTGCGCCAATTTGTGGGCATAGTATATTGCTGTGCCATATGTGTGCGGAGTATGAGTTTTGAAACGTAATCGTCTAAACATACAGTCTCATACTCCTTTTTTTCCTTTCTTACAAATTAGACGTGTATTTGTATATTGGGTCAACTGCAGTTTTTATTTTGTAACAATTGGTTATTAACAGACGTGACGCGTAACATTATAATAATAACGGGTGGTCCGTCACTTACTGTAGAAAGTACTTTGCATTTTACTTTTTTTGAGGGGTACGTGCTACTCGGTGGGTTCTTTGGTGCACCCATGCATGCCATGGTAATACATTAACAATCCCATAATGTTTATGTAACACACTCAATATAAATAAAGACAATGCGCGGATATTAACGTTCTACAATACTATGGTTCGCGCTAAGCCTGCAAGGCGTTTTCGTATCACTAAAAAGAAAATGGTCAGCAAGGGAAACCCTATTGTCATTCTATCCGAGAAACAGCAAGCAGATTCGACATAGAACCAAGACTGGATAAGGAAAAAGAATCAACCAAGATGGGAGGTATAGTGAGAGTGATACCGTTGACGTTCATGAGAATACCGAACTATCAGAGTCAACCGGACGGCTACGGATCAATATAAAGATTAAGCATTCAAATATTTTATAAACAGAGAAACTGGAATGAAATTAATAGTTTAGATGTCTACTTTGCATACACAACGTGCAATGTGTAGAGAGAAGGGTGACAGCACACACGTCAAATTTACAAGTCTGGTTAATAACCACTTGCAGTTGTGCCTTGATAACGAGGCCTGCTGCTTTGTGCGAATAGCAGAAATTACCTCGCCGTCCGATAGGTTTATTTTTGCAGATCTGTGACCATAAAAATTACGTTCCCGTGTCACATCATACACATAAACATCATCCAAGAGAATGTTGTTGCGCAGCCGCAGGATATATATAACTATTATAGAGTCCCATGCACAGTACTTGTTATTATCAATGTTCGCTTACAATTTTGAACCCCTGAAATGGTTCGCCCTTGTGTTTACATTGTCTGACTTTTTAACAACGACGCAAACTTTAGCGGACACGCCCGCGACTTGTATCCAGCAACTATATTAATATAAACCCTAAACCCCGCTACTCGACCTTAACACGGTAGACTCGCAGCGATCCAAGAAATGAGCGTCTCCCCAAAGACAGAAGCACCTAGCCAGAGAAGCAGCGTTCATTACTACGACGGAGATGATTCGGGAGATCTGCTGGTCACTGTAGGGACGACGGAATTTCGCGTACACAAACTGCTTCTCTATCTTGCGTCCGAGATGTTCAGGTCAATGTTCGCTTGCAAAGTTTCCCAGGACGGGCCTTTGGACAATCCCAAGCCGATCGACTCGGTAACACTTACGGACATGACTGCAGACGAATTCAACGATCTATTAATGTTTGTCTATCCACATACAACTCTTGACATAAGCTGGTCTAAAGTACCGTCTTTGTTATCGATTGCCGACAAATACATCATGTCGAACCTGACCGAGTGTTGTCTCCGATTCATTGAAACGAATTTTCTGGATCGAACATTGGACACGCTTAGTCTTGCTGATCGGGCTTTAACCGCTTTTAGTTCCTCTACTGAGCATAGAAAAAGGTTCTCAATTTTGTACAAAGAGTCTTCCAAGTACGTTCTAGACGATATCAGACTTACATTCACAGAGTCTCTTCCCGCGGATTTGTCTAATCAAACACGTAACAAGCTTATCGAAGCGAGATGCAGATACTTGGAAGGCTTGGGTGCGATCTCTAAGATATCTCTCTCTTCTCTGAATATTCAGCAGTCCTCGACAGCGGCGCGCGTCTTAAAGAGCGGTATTATTGAGATTTGCAGTTTTCCCCTCCGACCGCCCTCTGCAGTATGGGACAAATTACATGATGTGTTTGAGAAGGCACACATGGACGCTCTACAGGAGAAACTGAATACGAAAATTGAGTCGTTGTTGGGACCATTCGAAGCGGCAGCAATGTACGACGACGAAAATAGTTACATGTTTGTTGAATATTCATGAATCAAAAGGGAGGATTTGGCATTGCTTGCATATGTTTATCTACATTTTACATTATAGATTACATCATTAATCAATAACAATAAATTGCATATAATCAAAAAAGCTTTTAGATAACAATGTGTGCATATAAAGTTTAGATAAACATACGTGACTGGTTGTTGTCTCTATTTCACACGATTGGTTAACATTATATCGTTCCACGATAAACAAAGCCGCAAAATGCGATAAATACTTCGAGTTGTCCCAATTCAGACTTGCAACCCTTGCAACGGTTGTAATCATTCAAGCTTACAAAAGTACGCTTTGCTCACTCCTTGATTGGGAGTACGATTGACATGTTAGTATTATAAAGATGAGTATCGTCAATTGATGTCGTTGCAAATATTAATAAGCAGAACTGTTGGTTTCTAAGAAGGCTGTTCTCATTATTACACTTGTAATTAAATTTGTGTGGTTTCTTATTCAGACCACACTCCGGAACTCCGTTTCAATTAGAAAGAATGTGATTTGGTATTCGTTCAATTGTCTAGAATCAACTTTTTAGGCATTAAAAGAACCAATGATGAAAACCTATTTTCTATTCAAGGGCCCTACCATTTATAGCTGCGTGTGGTCGCTTTTTGTAGTAGAACAATAGAATTTGAAGACAATAATTATATATCAGATATAACAATAGTAATAACAATTAATATCTCCATGTCTAAGAACATTCTGATCATATTCAACCCCAAGATTGCCCTATCATTAATGAGCGTTAATGTGTAGAAGTCGACTTGTTTAAATATGGTATATTAATAAGTGGTAATGGGATGTCAACTTCGGAGATAAAGATTGCATGCAATCACTCTATAGACACTTTTGTTTCCTTGGTTTTTTTTTGCTTTGTTTCCAATAATTTGATATTGGGCGCAGTCAACTCGTTCGCATCAAGTGTATGTGCCAATATATTCCTTTTACAATTCTTAGAAAAGAAATAATAATATTATTTGCGTTTTTAGTTAGGTTAATTGTCTTATTACGTATTTTGCTGCATGCACAAATATTATAGCCCTGAAAATCATAATTCATGATGTCAACTTACGTTTTAACCTACGATGTAAAATTTTTGGGTATTGTTTAAATCAATAAACCGGTAAACGAGTCTTTTCATAAGGTTGACATTCCTCATAAATTTTCGCGAGTGATAATAATAATATCCCACTGGTCGGCCATGTCAAGGGTTGATCGTCAATATACAATTTCAGTTGGAACTCTTTTTTTCCAGTGTTTAAGTTCCCGTTCCATATGGAATTGTCAAACAAGATAACAAAGAAGTAAGCTTCTCATTCAATTTATTGTTGATGAACGCCGGGTACATTCAATGCGAAATGATTTCCATTTATGAGGCCGAAGGAACGAATCACGGACGTCTATTTTTTTGCTTTGTTTCTTAATATCCGAATATTTGATTGGACAACGTTTGTCTGTCCGTTGTCTATTAGCGTTACCCCTTCATATTTACTATTTTAATAAAAACCCCTTCCCATTATTGTTGATACAAATTTAGCAAATCTATGAATCGAAATTTACGCTTGCATCAATTAGATATTCCCATTCGCCTCATGAGTTTTATCGAAATGTGTTCTCGGCCTTGGCTATAATCAATCATAATAGACACAACCCGTTTTAGTAGTATTTTTTTTCATATGATCGATTATGTCTCTTTTGTTGGCTCGATTAGTTTAAATGTAATTCCAAGCGAGAATTTGTTTGTACGAGTAAGTAATTGACACTTGGGATGGAATTAATTTGTTATTGCCAGTCAAAGTTGGCAACGGATTAGCCAAAAATTTCGGAGATGGGAAAGTGTTCTTGACGATGGATGATGCTGTTTAATGGAAATTTATTATTTGCATACATCTGCCACTAAATTACCTGAATGAGATGTATGAGATGTGAAACATTTGTATATTTATCTTGCCTAGTATTACGATTTTCAATTATAAAGAGAAAGTTTTGGGGGAAAAGGCTGTTGTAATATCCGCTAATAAGATTATTCAAGAAAATACGATTTTTCTCCCAATGATAAACGACATCTTTGTTCTCTTAATTAGAATTCTCGCTGTTGACAATGTGAGTTTTTCGATCAGTGTTTACAAACAAAAGCTTATTGGTAGAGATATCGAGTACTCATCGGAGTTACGGACCAAACTACCATGTGGTAAATATATTAAAATGTATAAAAAGTCTTCTTAGAACCAATTGATCCTTCGGAGACAATCTATTGTTTACAATTGTGCATGACTACTCGTCGTCCAAGAAAGGATTCATTTAATAAAAACCGAATAAACCATTAGATAATGTTAATTATGACATCTTGGCGATGGTTCTTATTAAACGATTGTAACACATAGAGTTAGTTATATATATAAATAACAAAGAACTTCTATCCCCCATCGTCCAGTCTCGTTTTTAGACTCGGAAAAAGATTTTGCTAACAAACGTCATAGTAAACGATTTTACGACATAGACACTTAAAAAATAACAAAGCAGAGTTTATTAAAAATCCAAATATCCTGCGCTAAGAATAAACAAACTCTACTTGCACTCACTCGAACAGTTCTTATATCAATGTCCATATATCCGCTTAATCTCCCACCTATCATGCCGAAGAAAATCATCGAAGTGACAACCCTGGATCAAGCACAAAAACAAAAATTTAGATTTGTACATTCGGATACTAAGGCAGATATCAGAGACGAGCTCGCAAAAGAATTCAATATGGATAGATTCTCTTTAGTGGATCCCGATGGTAACATCATCACCGGAACTTTCGATTCCTTGGAAGACACCAAGAGCTATACTATTGTTGATCGTACGAGAATGCACATGCCGGTTAGTAGTACTTTTGCGGAAACTGAAACTACAACACAATCTGTAAAAAGAGAGGTTGAGGATGAAGCTAATCCTCGACAGGGGAAAAGAGTAAGTTTCTGGGGTAGTAAAAAACGAATCTGATTCGAGCCCTGATAGATATTCTTTACTTTACCTTTTTTTTACCATAGCCTCCTTTTGTTCTTACTTCATCCTCAATCTCTCTTTTTCGTTTCGATTTCCCTCCTCCCCCTTCTCTGTAATAAATGTATTTTTTATTTTTCGCATAATTACGTTTTTCCATAGAAACCGTCCTGGATGGAAATAGGACGTCGACACATACCTTTTGCAAAAAAAAGAGCTAGAACATCCAGTACTACTACATCAGATTTTTCAAATCCCTCCAGATCTAACACATCAAACAGTGCCAACTCGGAACCCCGAAGAGTTACATCGCCTACGAGCACCTTCAATCAGACAGAACAATCTAGTACGTCAATGCAGCCGCAAATTGAGAGTAGCAATAGCAGCGGCGGCAGGGTTTCAAGACAGCAACACGTATGCGAGAAATGCAGAAAGTCGAAGAAGAAATGTGATCGCGGGAGGCCTTGTGAAAGATGCAAAAAATCAGGCGCCGAATGCACTTATCCAAGTAACGAATAATGTTTATAGCTGGATAGGAAGAGTTGAATATATTTATTGTTGTTTTTTAATAGGGTATTGTAGTGACTATTAATTGGATATTTTGATTATTATTAAGTATACTCGGCGTTTAATATTACTATTATTTTTACGTTATTTTATAAGGTATAAATAGGGACAATAATACGATAAGATATTTGTAGATCATTTCGATAGTTTTTTTTTTCTCAATCCTTTTCGCTTCTTACATACACCACTCCGTATGTGTAAGAGATATTTTTCCTTCTTTCTTTAAGTTTACTTACTTCTTCTTGTCCAAGTTTATTTGGCCATATGCTGTATGGATTAAAAATTTTTTTTATACATAAAGGGTTTTTCATTAGACGCAGTCATTCCGCAGCCTGATAATCAACAATGACATATGTGTGGTTTCATAAAACCTGAATTTTTTTCTAGAGAGAATTTTCGGACAGCAACCGTAGCAATCTATCCTCCAGAAAACAACTCATATTCAGTAGACCTACGTATTCCGCCGTGGGAGAGATTATTTTTGGAAATAGATACCCAGAAATGATTGTTTAATGATCCGCTAAACTAAATATGTCAAAACACAACATTATTTAAGAATACCAAATTATAATTGGCATCGAAAAGAATCATTGTTATTAAAACCTTTTCGTTCGTAAGCCGTTAGTACAGTAGTATCCAGTATTACTTAAATTTTCAATATAGAATAGTGATTTAACAATTAGCACTTTGAAAGTTGAGCATTATCTAGCGATAACGGAGCATGCAGGGGATGTTAGTCAGCTGCGAACATGCAGAAAGTCTCTCTCAACATGTTTGAAAGTACTAATTAGTCAGTTATTATTGGCCAAATACGGATGCGTAGATACAGGATACTTTACAGATAATCATGATTTAAAGTAGTAGTATTTATCTTCCTTCTAACTATCTTATTATCTAACAAATTTTTAATATTAATATATCAGGTTAACAATGTCTGAATTAAATACATGACAATACATTAATATTTTTTTTATCGTAAATTATACTACAACCTCTATGCACGAAAATAAACACTCTAATCACTCTTCCTATATTATATAATAATAACACCGTAAAGATCAGATTTAATCTGTTTCTGGTTGCATCTTAAGCATCCATTGGAAAAGACTCTCAGCAAGATGAAAAATAGCGAGTAAGTAATGTCCGCCTGCGCCACGTGCTGCTTATCACTCTTCAGGTAATGCTATATAAGTAGCTGGATTTTGTTGGCTGCAGAGTGCTTACAAAGATTGATAATATATGTCTAGCAATAAAGCGTTCTCGCGTATATATCGTGATCATACTTGCATACATACTATAGGATACATTACCAATAGTATCATCAAATGTATTGCAGAAGTTAGGCAATAATTAAACTTATTTTAAACTTTGATTTCTTTCTGGCCTTAGGATAATGCTTTGGCATGACAAGAATAATAAAGAAAAAACATACTATGCTATAAAAGCTCCCCTTACCCTTGGAAAGCGGGGCTTAGTATAGGTATAAGCTTTGTTGCAAAGATTTACACAAGATTTACGGTAAACGAGGTAATTTGAAGGTATTACCAAAGTATATGGTGATTCTTCTTGGCCTCGGATATAATATTGCAATATGTAATAGTGAGAACCATTTCATTCACAACGGTCAAGTTTGCACAATAAAAGACACCGCCAACGTAGTTCATGAGTATTAGTAAGTGAATATGTGATGTTCTCAAGTATACGCAAATAATCGCAGCAAATTTTTGGGCCGTTTATTAGTTTTAACTGCCTTTTTTTTTGTTGATAGACAAATTACTATTTTTCATGATCCTGTCCATACGTTTGTAGTTATATATTAACGCGTTAGACTGGAGTCAGGGTAATAACGTTTTACATACTAATTGACAATAGTTCTGATAATATTGGCCTAGGAAATGTTGCATACACAATTTTGCCGCCCCGGGTGATAATGTTAGTACAACAAAATAGAAACAAATATTTTCTTTTTAGCGACTTTAAGTTAATAGATTTGTATTGCCTCAGAGTCAACGAAGACGGGACCGTCATAAGTATTGTCATAGTCGCATTTAATATTAAATACATTTAAGAAATATTATTTGGATAATTCAAAAAATCTCGGACCTACCATAACTCTCCGAAAAATATTGAAAAATCGACTTTCATAAATTCAATTTACTAGAGTACGGTTTCTTGGAGCAATACGCCTGTGCGTGTGTTTTTGAAAATTTCCAGGAATTCGATGTATTGACCCACTGTTTTTCTTGGCATGTTCTTCAGTGGCAATTACTTGTTATCTGAACAGCCTTGACTGAACAAATAAACGCACCAGTTGACCTGCAAGCAGCTCACTTTTAATAATTTGATTGATAATTGTAACATAGATACGGGGGGGGGTATCAAAAGTATTGCATGGCGAAATGCATACAAGTTAATAAAATTGTTAACATGTAACTGCCCATGTAATTTTTATACCACATTTGCCTATATATTAGATTCTTGCCCATTGCTTTGATTTAATCTGTTACAGACAGATTGTAAAAGCCGGTTTTAAAAATCTCTACCATTTTCGATTTTTCGCATAATTAATTAATAATGTTTTCTTCGCGCTCCCTCACCGCGACAATAGGGCCCTGTAGTGTCGATGCTTAGTGATGAGGCCACCGAATTAGCCAACTTTAGTATACTACTTAAGTATGTCTTTATAATTCTATCTCTAAGATCGGACATCATCATAACTAATATTTCTTTAGAGAATAATTTCCTTCTTGCTAGACGAATGATTTTACGTTGACTATTATCTTACATGATTCGTGTTTCGCAGCACATTTGTTCGCAGACTTACATTGGGATTGTGTCTCGAATATATCTTAGGCAACAGATATATTCTATACTATCCGTAATAATTATAAACTATATAACAATCAAATAAGAATACAACACTTCAGATTTAACAGCTACTCTTAATGACCTATTAATTTCGTTAATATATATTTTAAGGAATTAACATCGCTGTTTCATCATACAGACGAAGACGAATAATATATCACCAAAGGTCAGGTTCGACAGATGTTCCGGTAAAACGTAGCAGACGAAGAAATGCCACTCATATATAAAATATCTAATACCCGTTATATATTATATCGTAGATATTATCTCGTTAATTTCAGTCTCAACATTAATATTTCTCTTTTCACTGTAATGATTTTCATCAAGAGTATCCGCATTTCGCTTCGTGTCTCTATCACACTCTATGGCTCCACTACTCTACGAACATTTTGGCATAGGTTCCCCCTCATTGACAAATAATATTTCAACTTGAACAGAATAACAATAACAATATTAACAATAGCGAGAAATGGACAATAACGATGGATTCACAATAACTTTTTGTTGTATATTACGAGTATCAACTTTCTAACGAGTATATTAAGCTCTTGGTGTTATACATCGTCTTTATTATTACGAACGCCTTTCTTGTATTAAAAATAAGGTCTTATAATCGCAATCTTTCTAAACTAAACACTCCTCACGCTTCCCTTATTAGTCACCAAGATGTTACAACAAAGCATCGATAGACGAATACTCTGCTGCTTGTCTTATTAATCGCGAGGAACCTGTGTCAATTCAGTGAATAATATAATAGCCGAATACTATCATGCCCTGCTTATTAATCACCATTTTTTTATAACGAAATGATTATTCCGTAACATGCCTTATTAGTCACTAGGGAATTCTTACATCAAAGTATCGGTAGAGAACAAAATAATACAACATTTCCAACAGATATTAATATTTTATTAGTTCCACTTCAGTTTTACCTTCAACTTACTTTTTCCTTCTGGGGGAAAGGTCGTTTATATAATGAATTTTATATCACCATTCGAATTCATCACTCTAGTACTCAATTTCGCGAACTATCACTATTATGATCAAGTGATCAAGTTGGTGTTCGAAATCTAAGTTATACAAGAGATACATGAGTTTCACCAACTTGTACCCGATCCAAAATACATGGGGTGAATTTTTGACCAATCAAATAATTCCGTAGTAAATAGCAAAATCGGCTATTTACAAGCTACATCCTTTGTGGAGAATGTTTTACTGTTAATGAAATGCAATCATCATGAATTTTCTCCTGGCTTTCTTCACCTTCTTCCCCAACTGCAACCAGGCTTTCGAAACTGAAAACCTAGAAATTGTCTGTTTTTCGGTTTTATTTATAAGGTTCTTGGTTAATTGAGAAGTATGAAGACGATATTTCAGGGTCACCAAATAATTTAAATTATTGAAATGAGATGTGAAACATATCCCAACAAGTTATCAAGAAAAAAGGAAAATATATTTTTTTCTCCCAAGAATAAGACAATGTATGCAACATCATTGTTGAAGTTTTCGATCAAGCTTTATTATTGGCTGACGAATGCACAATCGGAGTTACGGAACCAAACTACCGTATATTTTAAGGTATATAAAAAAGTCCCTTAGAACCAATTGATCCTTTGGAGACAATCTATTGTTTACAATTGCGCATGACTATTCGTTTGTTCAGAAAGGATTTATTTAATTAACCATGAAATATTAGATAATGTTAATATTAGATAATGTTAATTATGACATCAAGCGGTTCCATTAAACAAATGTAACACATAAAGTTAATGATGATTCGGATATATATAGCCAAAAGGACTTGCGGGTCCCACCATTAGACTCGGATAACATTAAAATTACAGATCTTGCTGAACAAAAACGTCATACTAACGATTTTACGACTTAGACTGAAAGTAACAAAGCAAAGTTTATTAAAATCTAACTATCCTTCGCTAAAAGCAAACAAACTCTACTTGCACTCGAACAGTTCAATGTCCACATATCAAACTCATCCGCATCCCTCCTCTCTTAATCTCCCACCTATTATGCTGAGGAAAATCGAAGTTACGACCCAGGATCAAACACAAAAACAAAAATTCCGATTTGTACAATCGGATACTAAGGCAGATATCAGAGACGAGCTCGCAAAAGAATTCAATATGGACAGATTCTCTTTAGTGGATCCTGATGGTAACATCATCACCGGAACTTTCGATTCCCTGGAAGACACGAAGAATTACATTATTGTTGATCGTACGAGAGTGCACACGCCAGTTAGTAGTACTTTTGCGGAAACTGAAACTTCACCACAACCCGTAAAAAGAGAGACTGAGGATGAAGCTAATCCTCGACGAGGGAAAAGAGTAAGTTTCTGGGGTGGTAGAAAACGAATCTGACTCGAACCCCGATAGATATTTTCTACTATTTACCATAGCCCCCTTTTGTTCTTACCTCATCCTCAATCTCTCTTTTTCGTTTCGTTTGCTTTGTTTTCCTTTCCCCCCTCTCTGCAATAAAAAAAATTTTTTATTTTTCGTATGTTTTTCCATAGAAACCGTCCTGGATGGAAATAGGACGTCGACACATACCTTTTGCAAAAAAAAGAGCTAGTACTACTACATCTGCTGCATCAGATTTTTCAAATCCCTCCAGATCTAACAGTGCCAACGCGGAACCCCGAAGAGTTACATTGCCTGTGAGCACCTTCAAGATTGATCCTCAGACAGAACAGTCTAGTACGTCAATGCCGCCGCAAATTGAGAGTAGCAATAGCAGCGGCGGCAAGGTTCCTAAAATTTCAAGAACGCAGCAAGTATGCGCGAGATGCAAAAAGTTGAAGAGGAAATGTGATCGCGGGAGGCCTTGTGAAAGATGCAAAAAATCGGCCGTCGAATGCACTTATCCAGGTGACGAATGTTTATAGCTGGATAGGAAGAGTTGAATATTTATTTATTTTTGATATTATTATTAAGTATACTTGGCGTTTAATATTACTATTATTTTTACGTTATTTTAAGATATAAATAGGGACAATAATGTACGATAAGATATTTGGATAATTTTGCAATCCTTTTCGCTTCTTACATACACCACTCCGTATGTGTAAGAGATATTTTCCCTAGTTTACTTGCTTCTTCTTGTCCAAGTTTGTTTGGTCATATGCTGTAAGGATGTAAAATTTTTTGATACATAAAGGGTTTCATTAGACGTAGTCATCCCGCAACCGATAATCAATAATGACATATGCGTGGTTTTAAATTTTTCTCTAGGGAGAATTTTCTCACAGCAACAGCAGCAAGCTCATATTCAGTAGATAGTTATATTCATTTGTCCTTATCATATGGGATACTGCTGACGCCTACGTATTTCGCAGTGGAACTTCATTTTTGGAATATACTGTACATACCCAGAAACGGTTTAATGATAAACCCGCTAAACTAATATGTCAAAACACAAAAGACAACATTATTAAGGGCATCGAAAAGTCATTGTTATTAAAATTTTTATTCGGGCTTTTTCGTTTCGATATACAGTCGAACCTCGTTATACCGAAGTGTCGGGGGAGGCAGACATTCGGGTACCTCTATATAACCTAAAGTCAAGTAATATTCGGTATAATAAGGCTTGTGCGAATAATATCTTTACTTCAATTTACAAACAATAATACATGAATATAATAAAACAGTTATACTAATAATCAGTAACAAATGAATCTATTCGAGTTTGTTTTTGCTTTGCAATACTATGCAATTCCACCTTTCTCGAAAGGCTTTAAATTCATCGTAATTTATTTCCATGTCACCTAGTTGAAGGAAGTTGAATGCCGTTTCAAGTGCGACTTCTGCATCTTTAGTAAAAATGTTAGAGAGAGATTTCGAGCTACTTTCATCATCGCCTTCCTCTTCTTCTGCGGGAAAAAAGAAAGAAACAATTTTGTCATCTGTTGACTGAATTTAAAAAAAAAACAATAGATACGAAATATTGCCGACCGGCTCTATATAGAATCGTAGAATCAATAGCGCGGCAGGAAATCCAAAGAATTCTGAAGCACCTAGTGAATATTCACAGCTGTAACCTATAAATATACAAATTACAATTTTAAATTAATATCACGTCAGAATACTGTATGACTAACATTAAAGTTGCAGATGAAATCATAACATGGTCAATATTAAATATAGGGTTATCTCTATATAAAATATAACTATGAAACTAATTTACATTAAGATTGCACCTTATGTTTTTAAAATCAATGATACCCAAACTCTCCAAGGCTATCTAGATAAAGAAAAAATTACTTATGAAATTTATCAAGAAGAACGGAAAATAATCAACAATAAACGAACGTTAACGATAAACCAAGAAAAAAAACGAAAACTGAAGAAATAGAAAACAAATAACTGTCTTTCTTATTATCATTGGATATTATTAACAAAGACGCCAATTCAGGACAAATTTGTTTATTCTTACCATTATCGTATTAAAAACAATAGAAGTATAAAAGGTATGAAAAGGAAAACATTAAATAGATTATTAGGAGGACAGCCAATCCAAACTTTAGGCGCGTTTGTTCATTTTGTATCAAAGACTGATCGATTGTAACGGTAACATATTTTTAATGTTGCACTGATCGGCACCTGATGAGCTTACCTATATTTCGAATCAAATTATAAAATCTTTCCAACATCGAAATCGAAATGCTCGCTTTCACTATTGAAATCTTCTGCGAGTTACTACTATTGATCACGCTTATTGCTGGTATTTTCTATCCTATAAACCCCACAATCAATTTCTTGATATAATTCAATCGCTTGTTCAAGCGATAAAATCAAAGCCAATTAAGCGAAAATACTCATCAAATATAACACAATTATGGAAAGATTTTAATAAGTTATTTGACAAAAATTCTGAGCTGGACTCAGTCTTGTTTAACAAAGCGATTATAAAATCCCACAAATTATGCGAAAAAAGGCGCTGTTGCCTTTATTCTAAAAGGCTTCACAAACAAAAAAACCAATTCTCGAGAAAAACGATCGGAGCGCTTAAAAAATGGCTAGATAAAGAAAGAAGGAGTGAAGCTGAATATATTAAATAAATTACCAATAATATGTAACATAGATTTCACTAGAGCGACCAAAGTATATGGATACTCATCAATGGCTTTGGGTCCGAGTATTTCTCCCATGCAATTGCTCTAGTGAATATGCAAATGTACTGTACGTTGTTTGTAAAAAGTAATAAACAAGACATCAGCAAAATTTGTATCAATCATTGTAAATATCCTGATTATGTTACTCTTTTGCAATTTGTCTTCAAACTTTTAAATAAAAACAAAACCCGCAAGTCGTCCCAATTTAATGAAAACACGGTCTCCCTTTCGCTGTCATATAGACTACAAATCACAAGAATAACGTTTGTTGATTGATATTGTTGTTTTGGCTCTGTTCAAGCAAAGAAGTTTTTATTTTTACATACAATTGTTATTACGTGGTGCGATCATTCTAAATGTGAGTGAATTATAACGCAATATATAATTATAGATTTTTATATCGTGATTTAAAGACAGCTACAATATTAATGCGACTTTATTTAATTTAAAGACAGCTATGTACTTCAACTTGCTACCACTTTATAACGATAATATATAAAAATTTTTTGTTAATTTTTTGGAAAAGCACAATCAATTAGCTTCCGAACCATACAAAAAAAATATTATCCTTCGTATAGTACACATGTGCCGGAGAGATTTTTGAAAAGAAAGACATTCCATATGTTTTCCTAGTAAATTTTGGGGGTCCGGTGACTTTTGATAGGCCACTGTATGAAAATAAATCATACAATAAAATGATGATCCCAAAGTCCATTATTTCAATTATTTTTACATATGCATTTTCAGCGTTTTAAATAATGTATCGGGACAGTTGCTGCATAACCTGTCACACATTTCGGTTGTGCAAGCCACTGATCAGCGTTGATATATTAATATCACAGGCAAAATTGTCTACCGCCGTTATTTTTTTCAAATCGAAAATGTCTACAAGTACCACTACTGATCCCTCGGTGGAAGACGTTGAAGGATATAATACGGAAATTCTTATCGCTTACCTACAAAATCAACGAATTTTAAATCTAAGTGAACAACATATTAATGTGCTCCGTGAAAATGAAGTCGCCGGTTATGACTTTCTAAGATTGAAACAAGAAGATTTGGAACGATATGGACTGAAACCAGGACCGGCAAAAAGAATATCAGACTTTGCCATTCAGTTAAATAGTCAAAGTAAGTTCTATAAAACAGTGTGTACATAGGGTAGTCAAGGTGATAAAAGATATCTATGGTATGGGAAGGTGTGTTGGCTGACGCGCTGCGCGCTGCCTCAGCTACTCAAGCAGGTAATGACTTTGTGACTCGGGCGTTGGGGACATAGAGTAGTGGACATAGGGTAGAGTAGGTTATTGTTGTGTGTTTTTTTCTATACCTGTTGTGAAGCTATGATCGCGGTACCGAATACTTATTCTCGTGCTTTTCTTTCCTGCTTCTTATCGTTAAACCCGCCCAAAAAACACATTCACGTCATCGTAGAGCAACCCGGTGCTAATGGTAAGTGAGCCATAATAAATTTGGTCAATGCGAGTGAACGTACTGCTTTTTCGCCGTTATAGTTACTTTTTAACATGTGCATCACTATTTCCATTTTCAGAACAATATATCCAGGAATTAAGATTTTGAAATATGAGATTTTCCTTCTTAGGCTATCCAATACACAGCGTTCTGCTTCTGTGTACAATTTTGTAAAAGTAGAGGAGACTTCCAACGTTGGGAAATCGAGGAGGATACCGATATAAAACCACAAAGAGGGGCTGGCGACTATGTTTTGATAAATACCGTGAACCTCCTGCTCAAGGATCAAGTGAAGTTAATATAACCCAACCATTTTGTAAGAATATTGTGAATGAAACCAGTGAAATCTTAAATCAGGTGCACTCACGTGATTTATTTGTATTCGGAGATGGTGGCTGGTGGCGGCCAGATGAAAGATGATGTTTTCCCTGATATCATAATTGGCCATGCCGATTTCTACAAGGAATTGACAAAAATCCCACCTGATTTATCAAAGGGTCTGGGTTGGGAAGTTAAGAGTGATTTAAAAGATGGTTCAAAAGTAACTGAAGGGAAAGGTCAACTAGTAAAATATGCCAGGGCATACCTTGCAGCAGATCCACCTCTAACAAACGTTTTCTATGGATGTTTAACAGATGGGAAGTTTTGGTTATTTGTGAAAATCCAACTTGTATTAAATAATACTAATAACCCAAAAGTGAAGTTTGAGGAAAGTCAGACTTATGAATGGAATAAAAAGACTGCCTCACTTATTGCTGGCATAATTGAGTGTTATCATAATGACCTGTCCATGAGAGCTTCTGGTGAAAAAAAAAGAATCTCAAAATAATGATGAAACATATATGTATAGGAATAAGTCATCAATTTCTCCTGAAAGTCTCTTGGCTTCTTTCATCAAAGATGGTATCTATATCAGATTACACTCTGGAAATCATATCCATGTGCAGATTACATCTCACCTTGGAACTGGAAGAGAGTGTATAGTTTTTTTGGCACAAGTACGTGATTATGGAATAAAGGATGCCGTTTTGAAGGTAAATTAATTCCTGAGAATGTCTCATACTGCATATAATATAAACTTACCATATCATTTTTTTTATTTGAAGATCGGAGTTCGCAACAAGACTTGTGTCTCATTGAACGAATACATTATTCAAACCGACAAACATAATATAAAAAACTTTTGGGAGTGGGAAGATGAAACTGTTCGTGTAGTGGAACTTCCCTCGTCAGCCCATGGGAATAGTATCAGTACCATTATAGGGTTATTTGGTGTACAATTTTCCGCCGTGTTAGGCACTCCTTCCGGTATTCTCCTTGCTGACGCGATTAGTGAGTGTTCATTGTTTTTTTATGCTACTGTATTCTACATATGTTTCTATTACTTATATCTTTGACTAAAAGCATCTGGAGGAGGGAAAGAGGCGGATGCGTCTCTTCAACCTGCGAGAAAACCTCAAGTGCGTAGGAATGGATATGGTGGAAAAGTATGAAGCGGTTTTGCCCTTGTTTCTTTACTAATGTGTTCGTTTTGAATTTCTAATTAAATGAAATATATTCTTAGAATAAACCTTGGCCCAATCTTATAATTGAGGTCGCTCATTCTCAGATCTTATTAGAAAAATAGAGACTTACTGGCTTCAACAAAATAGAGTTTACGATGCAATTGCCATTAAATTAAACCCACCAGGCGCTGCGATTCCAACAGAGATGACGGTAAGTTATAAGCAAGGTTTAACTTCCACGCAGTTTTCTTGGCACTATTTGAATAATGTTTCTTTTTTAATAGGCTTGGCACTATTGCATAGATAATCGGACGTCCGCTGGTGCATTTGCCCCCGTAATGGTATGCTTTATTATTACATACTTTTTAGCACAGAATTGAACGATTAATATATATTCTCTATTTAGTACGAATTTGGCACAATCAATCGTCGAGGAGAGCCACTTAATATTACACAAGGGCAATGCATTATAAATATTCCACTGACATGCATTTATCACGGGATGCCAAGTAACTTCGTTATTCCTTCCCCTCCTCTATCTCACCTTATCCATTTAGATCTCTATTATGTTCAGTGGGCTATTTTAAATTCGTAACTAGAGGGTAATCGTTTAGCCTGTGGGCAGATCATAAAACAACAATAATTGAATTTTTAAAATTGTATTGTTTTTTTCCTTTGTTGTAGACAGCGTTAATAACAACGCACAATTTACAACGAAAATCAAATATCGCAAAAATTATCTTCAATTGTTATAACTTTCTATATACGTAAAAAATTTGTCACATTGAGCTTGTGCGACTGTGATACAGCATGCGGATTTTTCGGTATCCAATCATACTATTTCATCCGAATTGCAGAGCATAATTATAATGACAGAAAATAATTCTCGTCAAATGCGATGTTGACACTTCTTTGTCTCTCACGATTGGTAAATTCGCGCGAGTCAACCATTCGAGGCATTTCGCAAGTTTACTCAGAAATCAGACACATATGCATTTGGTATTATTATGTATGTGATTGCTTCTGGCGAACTACCAGTTCGATAGTTGTCTAATTGAAATATTGACTACGGGAGATGACCTTTAAATATTATAATATTGTTTGTAACCACTTCTTGCGAGACTAATTTACGCGTGTTTACAACGTAGTCGATGTGATTCTTGCAATGTCTATGATTCAAAACCAGACATTTACGGTAATGCGACCGTTTTTCTTCTTTATTATCTTCCACGATTAAACCCGCCCATTGGTTTACATCTTGGAAATTTTGAGCTTTTCATCTACTATCTGTACGGTTTTATCCCGTACACATTTTTGAAATTGTTGCATAATCGCGTGACACGTTATATTAACTTTTGCAAGTGAGGAAATTTTGTTACCTGTGATTTTACCCAAAAGCACCAAAACAGCACTCATGAAACAATGAAGGTGATGGTATAGAACCGTCAACGACGTTGGGGGGTAAAAAAAAATGCCAATATTTATCGTGACGTAAATTCGATTTTGCTTAACACAATAAATTTAATATACATGGGCTTTTGAAAAGCAAGTTATGAAGCACGATCCCATTAATTGTCAGTCTATAATGTAATAAATGTTCCATTAGAATCAATTGCATATTATCAAACGCATTTCACAAAAGTAATAAGCTCATTCTCACTGACAATGCTCATATTCCATGCCCTTCCTCTTCTATACTTTGTATGATCCTATCAGGAGCAGCACTGTACTTGAGAAGAAATTCACCATTGGGTATGTCGTTGGTATCTGCTCTGTGTGCTGCTGCATCCTCGGTCAATGCTAATCAAATGTACGAATAATGGTCATCAAACTGACTATGTCGTTCTCCCACAATACAAATTTACCATTATTGATATCGAAATTATTACACACCGATGCCACTCTTCATGTGTCTTTTTATAAGTCTACTTCGCGCTAAAGCAGGATCCACAGTGATGAACCACAATTCATCCATATTCGATGATATTTCGTTCCACGGTGGAGGTTCCGTCAAATGCAGATACAGACCTTCGAGAACCACCAATCGGTGACTGCAATATAGGATAAGTAACAGACTGAATGAGTGTCAAGCGTGAGATATTACATACGTTATGGACACTTGTATATCGTCTTCTTTCGGATCACCAATGCCATGAATAAACGATGGAGCGAAGATGGGGGCATCGGTTATGTCTTCACGCAACAAAGAAATTAGAGACAGTAGACCTGCATAACCCAGATATAGTCAGTACAAATACTAATATGCCATAAACAATTTATATCAAACATAGTAACCTTGGGCGTTGAACGTCCAATGCGCTCCTCTGCGCATACGTGCTTCTTCCGGATTCTTCGCGATCAATCGAGTAAGAGCAGAATTATTTATTTGCTTGTAGTGAAACGAAATCACACCACAAGTTCACGTCTCAATGCACCTCAAACCCTTCTAATTCCTTTTTAGTATAGTGGAATCCATCCATTGGAACAAGTACAGCTGCTTCATGCTCAAAACTATTATTGACTCCATTCACTATGTTCTTCGCAAACGTTGATTTGCCCGATCCTGATGAACGAAGCTGATTCAGAAAGAAAGGTAGTGTCCTGCGTCCATGAGTTGATTACATATAAATTACCTGGAATTCCAGCAATTGCAAGGAGAAATCTCCTGCGAGCTGGAAGGCTGTTGATATAGAACAAAGGGTACGTAATATTTCGAATTATATTTAACGTTGAGTAGAAGGGAGTCAATTTGGATGCATTTGTTCTGATTTTACCATTTGAGCTTACTCACTAAGTAATCGACGAGACTTTTATAAGTCGATTCCATTACTATACGGACAGAGGTGATCAAATGATCGCCATCTGTGAGATTGAATCGTTTCCGCGTGTAACGCTTAATTTCTTTTCAGGACTGCCTGACACTTTCTGGATGATTTTACAATGACAACTGGTGCTAACAGTTTGGCAATCTACATTTATAATCCGTTTTATTGTCGAGAATGAGGCATGTAATCAGAGCTCTCGCTTTTGCATTGGTGAGTGATAGAGCACAAAATGCTATTGTAATTGCGCGCCAGTTGTGTTACAGATCATTTGTTGAAATGCGCAATGTAATATTAGTAGGACACCAATACAGCGTGCATTTAGAGAAAGCTAATCATTTTGTTTTACGTGACCTCTTTGCATAATATATACTGTACACTAAAATTTGTGATGTTAGTACATTTGGCACTTCATTTGATGGAAGTCGTAATTTATTAAATCCAAGTATTAATGCGAAAGAGTCTTAGTCTTCCTTTCTTCTTCTTCTTCTTCTTCCTTTTTTTTTTTTTTTTAATTATGTGAAAATGTGAAATTGCTTTATTTCAACATAGTAATAGAGATGGGCCGAAAGAAAGCTTGCAATTGCAGAACATAGAACGTGCACTTATCTCTTAAGTACTGAGCAATTGCCGTGCATTTAGAGAGGTTGACTGTATTATTATATTAATTACACACTAATGGCTTATAATAATATAAAATTAATTCTACAATTATTAAACAATCCCATAGCGACTGGGAACAGTTGAAGGTTTTGTGAAGGTACAAAGTCGATGACGTATATTTCTCCCGATATTTCCAAGTTCCAGGAGAATTTTAGAACTCGCGTATATCATCGAGATGTGGCAACCGTACAAGCTGTCATAGCACCCGCGGTGTACACCAGTGAGCAATTAGTTAATCAGAGTCGCGCTGGAAAGTCGTACGTGCCAATGATATAGCATAGAAGAAATGACAGCTCGATTAGATATATAAGAAGCGCAACTTGCTGTTAGATTTTAGTTCTTATATCTAGAATATTATCTCTTTGGGGGCTGGGTAATTTGTCGATTATTGTATTCATTTGTTATATTTGTTATAAAGTCACAGTCTGGTGCTGTACTTGTACTGTTCATGTAGTGGGAGAAGTAATTGTGGTGTGGAATGCCAGTGGCATAGTATTATTATAATACATAATTTGAGAAAGTCAGGAAGAAAGCATTTGCACTATCAGAACTAAAATTCTGTTTAACATTGAGAAGACGTTTAAGTAAAATATTCAACTTATGAAAAATAAGATAAGATTATTGTTCATTTACATTTATAAATAGATATCACAGTTTTGCTCTTCAGAAGGAGATAACATCAGTTTGGTAGACGCTAAATCAGAAAGGTTTTTTACTTTTGTAGATGAGCATAGCTCTCGTTTAGACCCAAGAAAACATTAATATCATGGGGCATGTTTACCAAATTCACCTTGGCTGGTTTTCTGCCACATTTATCTCAGTAAATTCTTCTTCATCAATTCCATTATTGTCATAAACATCTTCATTCAGTGGTTTTTTTCTTGGACCATCATAAAGTTCCATAATTTTGTGACATTGATTGGAGATAGATTTATCAAGAATATCTGCGGGGACAGGGAACAACTTTGTGACTTGGCATTAGGCGTAAAGTAGAGCACTAACCCTATCTTGTTTCAATGCTATTAACAAACATGTAAAATCTCAGAATCTGATCGATTTTTTTTTATTCGAAACTTCTAGTACAAATTATAGTCACCTTTAGTTGTATTAGTATTAGTAATTTGTGAAAATTATAATTTCTGTAAAGTATTGGTATTAATTTCTCACATTATGAACTATTTACAATAAAATATATAGGTCTAAGTGTATATATATATATATGTGTGTGTGTGTGTAAAAAAACTATAATTGTTCCGGTTTATTTAAGAAACTTAAATCTTGCTCTTTTAGTATTAGATGAAGAATTAGAAAGGAAGAATAAACAAAACCCAAAAGCTAGTGAAGAGGAAAACTTAAAAGCCAAAACCCTTTTTCTTAAAGGTAAAGATCTCTTAGCCAATCAAGACCAAATATCTCCTGATGAGTTAGAATTATTGGGCCACTAATACTAAATCAAAGCTAAAAAAAAATCAGTCACTCTAGCCAATTTTTCAACCATACTAGTAATCTTTAGCTCACATAATCAAATGTTCACTTTGTCTGGTTTTGTTGCAGCATGTCCCATATTATAATTATCATATAAAAATAAAGTCTATTGTGAACTTTTATCCAATTAGACGCGCTAAAGAGCAGTTCCTTGAACTTCTAACTAAAAATAATATTAATTTAGCTCTTTAACACGGTCTTGCTAACGTGTCTGCCTTACTTAAGGCGTTATAATGTCGAATGTATTCCTTATTACCAGATAAATTTTTGTGCTACTATATAGTTAATCAAATAGATCCCACTAGTTTGATTGTGCGTTAAAACCTGTAATGCTTGCCCCTCTAAATTCTTATAAAAACAAGTTTTTTAGCAATAGCCATGTCGGTTTCAATAAATAAGAATGCGAAATAATACAACACCGACACAATATCACAAGCAAGTGGCACGACGTGTCGCCTCTATACGGATTGGTTTGTATCAATGAGAAAGCCAAAGAAGGTCAAAAATGGGCAGTTATAACTCGCATTCATAATATAGGCAATAAAATATCAAGTAAATAATAATTGGTGGATGTATTGTGTCTGAGTTCGGGACCTGTCTCAGCTCCGAACCCAGCCACTCAGTCCAGAACTCAGTTGTGTCAGTCCAGAACTGAGACAGGTCCACAATCAAGCATTTATTAAATTCATGTTTCCTCTGTGTTCTTTCTATCACATTGTTCCTACAATTGTATGCGAGAAGGCAGGAGCAAGCTTTCTGCAGGATTAAAAAAATTCTCTCCGTATGCAGTTAAAATTATACCAGTCAAGCGTGCCAAACTAGAAACATTATGTAAGAAAGAAAAAAGGCTCAGCAGCTAGTTCTTGAGTACCCCAGATATACTGTTGAGATACATAATTTTAATTTATTCAACCCACTTTACGCCGAAAAAACTCATTGCAACTTTCAATAGACAAACTTTGTAACTTGAATAGAAAATTTCTGTTTATATAAGACAAACTGTAAAAACTTTTGCTTTTAATTTGACACAGACTATGCCTTTCGATACGTAAAACCTAAATTAATTACGCGCGTGATGAATTACCGGTAGGCTTATTCTGGTTTGCCTTTAGTTCAGCAGGTTATAATTTTTTGCGCCCTAAATAACAATTGCTGGCCTGAAACAGTTAGTTTCGGTATTACAAATGCTCAAAAGTGTATATACAGTATATATATTACGCTTTAAAGCAACGCGCACTTTTACAACACGAGTTTAAATTTTCTCGACCAATAAATGCATTTTGTAACGTAAAAATTGTTTGTTCTATATTGCCCGAATATGTTATAAAAGTGGTAAACGTTGTAGCGGCTACTTGCTGAACTTTGCACGCGCTCGGACAAATTTAACCGAGAACAGATAACTAACCGTGTCTTTGGAAAACAGACTCGATAGTAATTCATAATTACAGTTACACTGCATGTTATTGCACGATTTTTAGCCTACAGTCTTATACTTTTGCGGGCTACCAACGTGATTTTCCATTAAATATTAGAGGAATACGGGATTTTTTTCTCGTGTAGATCATCCTTAGTCGGATGCCTTATTGCTTTCCTCAAATGTGGGCCATAATACAACTTACGGGTAATATTTTCATATGACAAAGTAAAGCACGAGCAATTGCATTCCGTGCGTTACTCGAACGACGCGCGCATTAATATAAATACGAAGATCTCGTGCTGTTAGTCGAATTGTGTGATTTAAAAAAGCGTGTTGATAGAGCATTCGGCATAACCGGCCCTTGACTTACTGGTTGGGACGAGTAGTTTTTAATGCACATGGATATAACTGGCGTATACCCAGCGCCTTACCCAACACCTGACCAGCGCCTTATCCAGCGCCTATCTGTGTATGCGCCTTTGAGATACATTGTACATAACAACTGGGGTACATACTAAATATACACTAGAGATAAGGCGGGTAAGCATTGGTAGACACAGACTAGAAGCGCATAATGCACAAGATTGGGGTTAGACTGGGATCACAGATGTACTGGTAAAGGTTAAATTTTAGCACATGAAGCATTTCTATGATAAAATGGTATTCAAGTCGGCATTTTAACTATTACATAATAACTGTGCCTATATGTGTGCTTAGTCAAATGGTCTTTGAAGAAGAAGGGATAAAAATTTATTATTTGAGCATGTAATTAGTCATTAAATTCGTAAATATAAATAAAAGCTTTATAACGAATTAATAAAGCAATAAACCTGTGGTGGCAGAATTAACACTTATGGAGACCATGGCAAAATTCTCGAGTATCGTAGAGAACAGCTACTAATGGTTGGTATTTTTGGTGTTGGTATTTGCATATTTGCAAATAGTAAACAATTAAAAATAAATCTAGTAGTTACTCTCTTACTCAACATGACCATGATGCTTGCTTTGTATATCCTTTTACTGCAGCTTGCAGAATCATCTGTTCATTATCTTTGTAAGCCATCTCACACTTCTATGTATCACTACATATAAACTGTTGCATGTATAAAAAAAGCCGGGGCCAATCTTTTCCTTACTCGCTCAGTGTTTTCCCGTAATCTCCCAGCAAGTTTAACTGTAATGACGCCATGGACTTAGCAACATTAGTACTAGACAGGAGTCGTTCGTAAATTTCAATGCAATTGCTTCGGGCACACCGACTGTTGTTGTTTTTTCCAGTATCGTCAAAAAAGCGGGTTCTGAAGCGGATCTCAAACTTTAAACTAATCGGAACTTTGAATCACGGGAATTTCATATGAAAAACAGTTGAGAAAAATCGTACGACGGGTAACATGCATGCTATGCAGGTATTGTCGGGACGAAAACCGAGTTTTACATCACAAAAGTGGCCGTAAACACATGCTTGTTGCCATTTTAAACCAATGCAGCGTAGCGGTCTTTTCCCTTTGAGTTTTCGATTACGCTAGTTCTTTCTTTAGAGGGAGGGGAAGGGCGCGCATTTTCTTTATGGCCTGTTCAACGTCCCTGGAGAGTTTCCCTTTTTCGCAGGTGCCTAGATTAAACCGTGCATGAGTAGTACCGTACCCTCGTTGAAAATGTTCCAATTATCGAACGTTCTTTCTAACGAACCCTTTCCGAAATGGTGATACTGGTAAATCGTATTGATTAGCAATGCGAGTGACTAATAAGGAATCAACGCCGCAACAATGATCGTAGCTAACTTGAAAATACACTATCAGAATAGATAGATAAACATGTGCAAAAAAGCGGGTCCCGTTTTACAAAGAACACATATCGCAATTCCAAGTGTAATCTTTAAACAATCTTTTTATATAGTCAATTGTTTATCAACAATTCTATCTGCCTGTGCCCAATGCTCGTAAAAATATCTATCAAATTAAATAAGTTATTAAATAAATATCTAATTATGCGTATAATTACTATACAACAATATTATACAGGCATATTCTACGGTCAAATGAAACTCCCCCCAAATGCCAAGAAACCCACAGCCATCCCTCCAACTACCGCACCAAAGCTAAGACCTTTACTAGCTATAGTTCTCGTCGACAGGGATACATTATTCGTCGATGTCGTATTTGAGCCACTAGTATTAGAGTTGTTGTTAGTAGGGTTGTTCGTAGTGGTATTGTTGGTGGTTGGACTGTTGGTGGTTGGAGTATTAGTGGTTGGATTGTTGGCTGGTGGTTTGTCTGTATTCGGACTTGGACTGTTTGTACTTGGGTATGGGTTGTTTGGTGTTGGATTTGGACTGGTTGTATTTGTATTATTCGCACCACCAGCACTTGGAGCGTCAGAGACAATGGTTCCATCACCACCCTGATTTTTACCTACAGGTGGTGGTGGGTTAGGAGGCGGTGGGTATTGGCCATTGACGTCGGTGATTATGAAGCGAGTAGTAAAGTATTGATTTTGTCCGGCTTCGAAGCGGATAAAATAGACTAAAGCGGTGTAGAAAGGAAATTAATGTGAGATGGCAATAGTGGATAAAATCTTTACGTATTCGCTAGAGAATTGCTTGATGTTTGCATATGATTTAATACATCCATGTCACATAATCTCACACGGCAACGTAATTGCTTCTTCTGATAGAAAAAAAAAGAGATTACATACTCTTTCCAGCTGGCGCAACAACGGGAATAACCCATTTCAATTGTCCGACTATGGCATCGACCGTACCGATAACTTTAAGCTCTTTCTGGTTCAAGTCGGCACCAGTCATGAATTTTACAGCAACGTTTCCGAGCTTATCTAGAGCTGGGGCCGCACCACTCTCTTTCCACAATATTGTCATCTTTTTTGGATAAAATAAGAAACAAGAATTTGTTAATTGGTTATTGTGGATTAGTGCGGAAGAATGTTTCATGTACGATTCTATGTATGTCCATGTATGTCTAATGAAGTTAGCTTCTCTCTCCCCGCTTCGTTTTCCAACATTTGCCATTCATAATTGATCTTGCTAATATACAACATATATCTAATTCGTTCTACCCTCAAGCTTAATAATTAAATACGTAACGACAATTTCCTCACCTCATCGCCAGGATGTACTATTGTGGACCCGTCTGGAAACGTGGGGATAAGGCCAGCATTGACATTAAAGGTTGAAAGTACTGTGACGGCCAATAATGCCAATGTACAGGTAATTGATTTCATTTTTTGGTATATAAAAGTGGGGGAGCAAGTGGGCAGAGAAGGAGAAAGAGAAAGAGAGTGAGAGTGAGAGTGAGAGTGAGTGAGTGTGAGAAATGAGAATGAGAGTGAGGAAGAAAGGGAGAAAGCGGAAGAATGAAAGAGGAAAGAGTCGGATATGAGGGGGGGGAATTGGACGATAGATAAAGTCCAACGTAGGGAAGAGGCGGATATACTTTGATACCCTTATTTCGATTTCTAGGGAATGCAATTACTCTCACTGTCTTTCTCTTGTTTGAAACTAAACGTACCGATTAATTCATCAATAGATTTTTATTCGATTCGGCGATATCATAATTAGGTCAAATTGCGTGTAACAAACATTTGTACAGATTGGTGAGAGAGAAAACTACGGTATGGTAAATTGGTTTAATATTAATATTTTGCGTACTTTTCGGATATTTTTTCATTTCCTCCCCGTGATCGCATTGGGCTGTGACTAATGATTGCTTTTTTTTTTTACGTCTCCGCATCCGCTGTGGAAATCTCCCCACTCCCCACCACCCACACATAACACACATAAACACATAACACACATACATAATACACCCACACAACACATACATACACATCCAACACACCATACAGACCTACAGAAACCCTATTCCGAATTAACAACCTACAGCTGTATTTGCATATCCATTTTCTGCTCCCATTCTATGTTTACTCTGTCAATCCCCGTTAATAACCAACCAATAAACAGTCTTTTTCCATTCACACATGGGGAGTAGTAAAAAAAAAAAAAAAGGGAAAGGAAAAAAAAAAAAGAGAGAGAAAGAAAATCTTACGCTATAATCGGATCGTCACAACTTAAAACCCTTCTCTGCATCCCGTATTCTTTTCTTCTTGTTCATCTTTTCTTTTCTGACCGTTTATAGTAATAATCTGGACAATACTAATGCATCTAAAGCAGTACAGAATAAACATTCTCATCTATAAGTTAAAGTAGTTGGGATTAGCGTATCTTTTAATGTTGATCAACTCCCCATTTGATATTCGTATGCATACGATTAGTCTTTTTTTTTTTCTGTATCGGAGTTAATGAACATGATTCCTACTTTGTGTGATGAGAGATGACGAGAATGTACATGACTTGTTTGGAAATAACTTAGCCATTGTTGGAAGGGTTGATGTCAACCGGCAGCGGTTACTGTAAATGAGGAGGCGGGGACGAAGAAATAACGTCAGAGTTGTTGTGTATGGGGATAAGTATAGCTTGTATCGCTGTGTTTCGCTGTGTATCGCTGTGTATCGCTGTGATCGTTAACATTATTAATTAAGCTACTTTTCCATTATTAAATTGGATTTATTATTTATCAAACAAAAAAATGGTTCAACTTTACCTCCCAAATTACGGAAAATAATAATAAATAAATTACGTTTTTTTATTATATTTGTACACTTTTGGTTGAGTTTTTTTCCCTTTTCTTTTCTTTTTTTTTTAAACTTATTTGTTGTTACAAATTTGAAATTATTAAATTTTTTTCCCATATTTTTAAAATTTACCACCTATTTACAAAAAAAAAAAAAAAGAATGTTCAAAAAGTGAAAATTTCTACCATATGTGATATAATTCGTATATCAGGATATTAAAAATTATCACATTGAAAATCTCTTTTGAAATAACCAATTTTTTCTGATACAATAACCCCGCCCCCAAAACAGTATGTGCAATATCGGTTAAAAAAAGGAAAAAAAGAAGGAAAAAAGAAAGAAGAACAATACAAGCAACAACTGTTCATCCTATATTAATGCTCTACCGATATTGTCTTTTTCAACATGGTCCTTCCCAGATAGCATTCCCTCCCAGACAATTCACTACCCACCCAACCTCAGTATCACCTCCTGGTTCCTCCTCCTCTCCTTTCTCTATTACTAATACAACGGTTATACGAGCCGTTATCGATACCCCTGCTCCTACCACCACCACTACCAATCCCAATCCCAATATCGCTAATTTCCCTTTCCGGTCTAATTCTAAACATCTTGCGGGCATATTCGTTTCGTCTGACTTCTTTTTCGAGTTCACCCCTTCCTACTCGAATTGCTCTCTGCGCCTTGATATCACATTCATCAATGACGGCTTCTGCCCGATCGATCCATTTGTCTAATATGCAATCTGATGTGCTTATTCGAAGTTTCTTAAGAGTATGCTTGGGTTTGCTCTCGTGTGTTCTTACAGACAGATTTCCTGCTCTTCCTCCTCCAATCGTCTTTCCCTTTCTTCTCCCTCTTCTCCGTACACCTCCAAAGCACTCGAGTATCACTAATAAATGCTCATCGTTGAACTCTTTGACATTAATGAGTGCGATTTCTTTCAACGGCGGTAGTGATCGCTTGAAGAATTCGCGGAGAGATGAAGCGGAGAATGGTGGACTATGACTAATATGAAGTGTACAGAGTGAGGGAAGTCGAATCGAAGAGAGATGGCTGAAGAAGAGCGAAAAGTCCTTCTCTATTGAAGAACCCGAAGGCGTGCAAATATGAGATGTTGGGTTTGATGTAAATGAAAATGGTGATGATGTTGATGCATAAGTGTTGTTTGTTGATGTTGATGTTGATGCTGATGTTGTTGATGCTGTTGTTGCTGCTGTTGTTGTTGTTGTTGCTGCTGCTGCTGCTGCTGTTGCTGCTGCTGTTGCTGTTGCTGCTGTTGCTGCTGTTGTTGCTGTTGTTGCTGTTGTCATCGTCGCCGTTGTCGATGTTGTGTTTACGACAAATGCAGTTCTATTTGTTGCAGTCATATCAATATTTCCATTCATATTCGTATTCATATTATTGTTTATGCTTGTATTCACTACGGATGTATGTCTCGTCCTTCTCCCGTCGAAATACCTCGTAGGAAATACAATTTTCAAAGTACTCAACGATGGACACAATTGACAGAGTTTCAGAATCTGTACACAGTCTCCATGCCTGACGGATAACTCGGCCTTGCTTATATTACTACAATGTGTCGCAAATAGCTCAATGTACGGATAATCACACCCACCCGACAATGAATGATCGATAGCAATTGCTTGAATAGTTCCTCCAGACTTTTTCAACAATGCCTCGACCGTGTCCTTGTTGATGGCACACTTGACAATTTTCAGTTTCCTTAGGTTGCAGAATCGGTTTTCGACTATCGGCTGCAAAATCTCGTCTTTGATCTCTCCGCAGTTTTCCAAGGTCAACTTTTCCAACTTTTCGCACGCTGCAACTTCATCCAATACGCCCCAATTTTCAAACAAGACGCTTCCAAAGACGATTGAGCGTAATGCGTGTGCTTGTTTCTTGATCGCGTTTTGCATATCGATCGTTCGAGGAATGCCACCACGAATAGATAGTTTGCGCAGCGATGTCTGAGCCGATATCAGGCTAGACGCCGACGATATTAGGTCCATCGTTGATGAAGTTTCGCGAATACGCTGGGAAGTGTGGCCGGTATATGTGGCAAAGTTGAAGTGGAGCGAGCGCATGGTATTGCAGTTGATAGCAAAGTGGGAAATGAGTTGGGATTTATACGTGGAAATGTCGAGGAGAAAGGATTTTACTGTTTGGAGGTATGGTTTGAAATGAGATGCAGATGTTGTGTCGATGGTGGTGGTGCTGGTAGGGGTGTGTTTTAGTGCTGACATTGGCTCGTATAGTCGCATGAATTGAGCACAGATATCGTTGTCCATGGTGTTGTCCAGCGAGAATGATTGCAAATTCTTACTATATATAAGATTGATAAATAATGTTTGTAATAGTCCTTTGAACTGATTGACGCTCGGAATAGAGCTTGTGTTTGACTCTATTCTTTTCATGTTTGTCTGCCACGGCTTGTCGTAGGGTCTCCGATATGTTCTCACGTTTTTCCCAGTGTTCATCGTTTTCATGTTCTCGATGTATTCGAGAGCCCATCTTATGAAAACATGGATATATTCCTCGACATTCAAATGCCTCAGATGTTTTTGATATTCAAAGGCGGTTTTATTGTCGATATCGGTAACCTTCATCCATCGTCTAATCTGTTTCTTCACTGCCGGAGGAAGAAGCCTGATGTACGTGGATATCAAGGAGTAGGATTGTGAGGTGGATGTTGAGGAAGAGTGTGATTTGATTATCGAAAATGGAGCAGACCACAGTATGGATACGGTGGATTGACACCATGTGCGATTGAGGAGCAGACAGTTGTAGAGAGATTGGTGGTCATCTTGAAGATGAATGAGGATGTTGTGAATGCATTCTGGATGTAAATGTGGAATTGTGTGTGGTTTTGCGATGAGTTCTCGTATCGGCGATAAACAGGGTTTATAATTATACATTTAGATATGGTGATTGATGATGGTATATACTGTATTTATACGGTTTAATATATTAATAATTGGGGAATGTGGTGGTCGAGAGAAATGTCTTTTGATTAAAAATCTGACGGATATGTATGATGTGTAATGGGATGCTATGATAAATTTTACGTGCAAAAAAAATGCGAATGAATTAATGATTTGAAGATGCCGATAATATTATAAATGTTATGTTGATGCTGTTGAAGTTGATATAATATTTAATGAATATATATATAGATATGATATGTGTTTAATATGTTTGTATAGAAATCAGCTGCTGTTATATCTCAATAAACAAAATCAAAATTATAATCAGATGACAGAAAAAGCCGATATTCTAGTGGGGTCTTCTACCCTACCCGGTCTATTTATTCCCACTGGACTTTTTTGTGCTACACTGAACTTTGTCTATCTGATACATTATATGCAGACATTAAATAATTTTCATTGTGGGGAGTCGGTGAAAAAAAAAAATTACTTGTTTAGTAAATATGCCGATTACATTAAAATCTTAAAGATAACCCCCACTACACATCTGTGCGAGGTGGGGTAGTGTGACGTAATAATATATATATAACTTTATATACAGTTTACATTAATCATCAATATAAATACAACAAGTATAAATATACATGCAGATATAACCCTACACTGTCCAAGCCAACATTCATCCATTGTTAACAATTATTGCTTTCGTATAACACAACGTAATACCTTTTTTATCGTATTAAGGTCATTTAATCATTATACATGAAATACTTATATGCCCTAAATTTAGACATTCTCTTTGTCTTTCTATGCGTTTATGCATTCATTATGCTACATTCTTAGTAATTAACCATTAATGCACATCCAATGGAAACATCGCAAAGCTCTTCTTTTTAACCCCACATTGATTAAGCGCAGGACATCGCTTCCCTTTCTCTCTCTCTCTCTCTTTCTCTCCCTCCCTCTCCCTCCCCCTCTACTCCTTATCTCCCTTCCCACCTCACTCCCCTTTTTACCCCCCCCCATTCTTCACATCATCAATCGTCCACTGTCCCTTACTGTCTCATCATAGTAGTACGTTAATATCACCTAAATTTTTGGACACAAAACTAACAAACAAAATATCTGTTTCGAATCTATAATTCTTTAAGCACAATCACTAATCGACAATCGATCAACCGTATGTGTCATGGTGATTCCGATGGAGCAAATCACCATGATTGTCCGGTTACGTAATATTCTTGGTAAGCCGACGGATGGGATGGGAATACTATACGAGATAGGAATTAAGCAGAGATATGATGAGTTGACAAATGAAATTCAAGTGACCTTGCTAATCAAAAACTAAGTTATGAACGTCATAGTAATAGAGTATTGATATCGATGATAACGATTAATATAATCACATGATCAACATCCAATCGCCAGCTATAGGATAGGTGATTCAGGGGGGGGCTAGAGCCACAAATCGAAGGTGATATTAAGAACGAGGAAACCCATTTTCTTTCGTCACTGTACTAATACCAAGCGATAAAGGAGTCGATGGTTTTTCGGCCCTGGATTAGTAGTATTTTGACAGGATCGCACAAACATGGCGTAACTCGATCTTTTTTAAGTGGATCAAGAAACCATCCCCAAATTTCGGAAAAGGGGATGACGATTCAACCAAACCATAATAGATGCTTAGCCGGCGTCCTGATGAAACCCGCGAGTTTATCACAACTCTTGCCAATTTGCACCTTAGACGTTAACATTTCCTATAACAAAGCAAATACATCAACCATGTAAAATGTCGATTTGAGACTTGTCTTTGTTCGCTGTTTCACTACAAACGTTGTCTCTATTTCTCCCCTATTATTGAATGCGACCTGATTGCAATCGTTTAATTAATATGTTGATCTCTGTAGGCGAGTCATTCTGCATGTACCACTGAAATCCCACATGGTCGTTTCGTAAATGCTTCATTGACTGTCTTTAGGAATAGTAAACTTACATTTAAATTTCTTTTGTTTATGAATAGACTTTCTGTGACGTTTATGATTGTAATTTCACATTAGAAACTTACTAGCATGTAATGTACAGACGTTATATAAAACAAACATACTGTTATGAAACTAAACCATAGCATAAACTGACATCCACACTCAACAAATTATCGTTAATCCTCTAGTCTTTTATCTTGATCAAATTTCATAAGTAATTCTTTCTTATCTAAATAATATCTAATAGTATTGTATCAGTTTGCATACCATGCGTCCTCTTACATGCACCGTAAATATTTCTGTGGTCACATAAAATAGAGTTGATGTAAATTAGTTTTGTGTAAGTAATTTTAATGGGAATGCTCCCATTTGCTATGTAGATAGGAGAGATCGTTATTGTAATCACCTAAAAAGTTTGATGAAAGATGAGAATGTTCATTCAATTACCAACTATTTATTGTTCGCCACATTTGTATATTATTCAATGCAGAGTGTAAAGTATAGAACACTTGGACCAGCGAAAATCAACCCATTCAACAACAAGTTAAGCTATTTATATGACTTTTAGCCATCACATCATATCGTTTGTGGTTACTTTTATGGAAATCATTGGATGTTGCACCAACAATCATCTATCTGGTTTTGTTGCGGCATTACTCCACATGAGATGAGGTGGGGGAAGGAATATTTTGACTTTGTGGCAAACAATCGACTATTATGACATTTTTAGTCTTTAGTGGCTGATCTGTCTTACCAAGCAATGCAGCGCATAGCAGATACAAAAAAAAATTATTTGTCATCGACGTTCGATTGTTGTAAAAGATAATGCACATGGAAGACAACTTGGAACTGTATACTTGGCAAACGGGTAGCTATTATTTGATGTACAACATTTATATTCGGCGCATATCATGCAATCTATATAATAATAATAAATACTAATAATAACATGCCCAACAATTGTCATTCCATAAAAAAAACAAATACGCAAATGATTAGATCGGTTTAATAAAAACCCCTTTCAAAATAAAAATAGCAATTCAGCCTGCGTCTCGACGATAAAAAGATTTGATACGCCTAATCAGACTTGCTTTTTGCGAATATAACAATAGCGTTTTGCTACGTTGTACTTGTGTTTCTAACATCCACGGTATACTTTCTAAACTAAACATGCGTCGGGATATAACACATGATGATACAAAGCTATAATATCGACGATTTAGGTAAATTTAAAACGCAAACTACCAATCATCGACTGAATAGAGCTGACTTAACCAAAAGTTAAATTTTTGATTGTGTTGCTTTTTGTGTCTGTGTTCGGAACGAATTTTAGATCAAAGGCAAACCCCTTAAACTTCAATGCACCGATTAAATGACTCATTGTACTACAAACAGCTCAGTCGTTTCCTTTCCATTGTCTTTTTGCTTTTCTCGAACAGTTTTCTTATCGGGTATATCGAGTTCTTTTACACAAGCCTCGCATTCCAAGTTCACTTGGAACGTGCTTTGTCTGCTTGCCTGCTCGCTTGCTTTATTGTAAAAGCATTCTATCCAACCACAATCAGTTCAAACACATCGTCTTGTAATCTTTAATTCATATCTTTTCGATATCGACTGTACAAATTAACGTCAATCGTGCTTTGTAATTTGATTATTTCAATGATTCTGTCTTGTGTTTGACCTTGTTTTGTATAAGGCGCATGTTTTCATCAGGGCCTTGTTTCTATCGTAACAAGGGATAGGTCAAATGTAGGACAACGACCTCTTCGTCTACAGTATATATATTAGAATGACAACGAGCTTCATGCTGCGTTGGTTTTTTGTTTTTGTTCGGCATTTTCACCGCCAGACAACCAATGTTACGTTATTTAGAAACAGTAAAGCTTTACTTCTATAACAAAGATCTTTGCAGGCGGAATGGTAACGAGATCCTCATAGAGAAAGTGAATACTTTTGCTATCGTTAAGTCAGCTTGTAGACTTTTTTACCTCTCCCGAGCTGGTATCATTCTTCTTTACCAGTTGACCAACAGCATTAACAAATTGTCAACTCTTTTTATTAAAGCAATCGATTGTGCTCGCTATTACTATACAGATGATAAATCCGTTTTCCCAAACAGGTTAGAAGATTCTATTAACGGCAGTCGAGTCTATCGAGTAATTTCGGGTAAATAATTTTTTTCGAAAACAAGAAAGAGATTCGTCTGGTCATGGATTATGTGATTTTTTTCTGACATAGATTCTTTGTTTATTATTATGCGTTTAGACCACCAGTACACTTTGCAGTCATTCAAGATGTCATGTCGTCAAGTTGATTTGGTTCAATAATTAAGATAACGTTCATTCATTCGTTATCTTTTCTTTTTTTTTGCATAAATGTATTGCACAATCTATTGGCCTCTTTTATCTTTGTGTAATAGGATTGTCGATTAAAGTCCAAAATTATGGCAATATTCAACAAGCTACATTAACAGGAGCAAAATGATTACTATTATTATCTGCTAAACAAGTGCAAAGGCACCAGCGAGTATCCAATTTATACATAGACCAACGTCAGTGTGGGTCCATATGAGGTATGATCAAATTACGAAATATCAAAGACTAGTATTAGGGAAATACTTGTTAGAAATACTCATATGAGCGCAAGTCAACTGTAATTATACGACGGTGTGTAAGTATCTAAGTTAACAGTCATGAAATATAGGTTGTCATAAAAGAGATGCTCTACTCATGATTTCTCACAACAAAACATTGATCAAGTTGGTAATAGCAAATATGTTTGTACCTCCTCTCCGCTCACAGCTATTATCTCTCCCAGAAAGAATCTTCTCCCAGTCAGTTGGTTTGCTGCCTATCAATATCAACTAGTAACGTACTGCTCAAGCAATTTGGATGGCTACTTATAACATCAATTCTCTCATTCTCTCATTTATTATTTACATTAGTCTCCATACAAACCTCAAGTCAGTATCTCCTCCAATCTGCTGCCCTCCGACAAATATGTCAAAAT